CCATATATTTGCACTAAGTTTAGTCGGGCACCATTTGCAGTCATCAGCCGACATTTGAAGCCAAAAAAAAAAAAAAAAAAAAAACAGGTAAAAAAAAAAAAAAAAAGCCGCGTCGCCGCACCACTTTTGGGGCAAGCTCCATACCAGAAACCGGAGACTTTTTTTTTTGGCCTAAGGAAGGGTTGGTTGGTAGGAAGGTTTTTTTTTTTGTATGCGTACACGCGAACAGAACATGTACTGAAGGACAACTGCAGAATGTATTATAATGAATGTTTATGAGTGCAAAGGTAAGAATCATTTCATTTGGTGACAAATGGGATGCTCCATTCCACTCGGCTCCACCTCATGGAATGGAACATTCATTTGTCACCAAATGAAATTACTCTTTCCATTGCACTCACACAACGTCTGAACACCTACAGTATGACCGTGCAATGGAACTTACAGTGGAACGGAACTTCTATTTTTGCGGTGCGGCCGGGCCGTGGGTTGGGACAAATAATTCAACGACATGTGATCAACGACCCACCAATCAGGTGACGGGGATTCACGCAGGCTTTGCATAAAAGAATACAATTTACTGCGTACTCACAAGTATTCCCGACTTGTATTTGTAGTACTTACTTTTTGCATTTCCAAAAAATACTCCAATTATTATTATTGTGACGCCTCCAAATTGAATAGAGCACTTTACATGTATAACACCTCACCCGCAGATTCTGTGTCTTGATTGGCCGAGAGCGAGTCACATGACACTTTCTATTTTTGCTATCTTTCTGTGCACGGCCAAAAGTACTATAGGCCTACCCGTAGCAACCAAAGTACTATACCACTAGCAACCAAAGTACTATTTCCACAGCGCAGTATTTGTGTGCAAAATAATGCATGCTGGTGTGCGCGTTGCGCGTTCTAAAGAGAGCGCGCCACAGAGTTGGGTTCAAACATTTCGCGAAGGGGTACATGTAGTTTGGAAGAGAGAAATACATTTTCCACCAATTCTGTATTGAAATTGAAGTTTATTTACATAATTTTAAATATTAAAACCAAGCAGAATCTGTGGGTGAAGTGTTATAAAACGAATATTTAATGCTTTATCTCGTGGTGAAGTAAAACTAGCCTCCCTCGGTGATCCATGGAGCATTCTATTTTTCCTCAGCTTCGCCTCGGGAAAATAGAATGTCCATGGATCACTTCGGGAGGCTAGTTTTACTACACCACTCGAAGCATTCAATATTTGTATAATAGTACATGTATTATTAAATAGAGCAAGCTGCTTCTTCGTTTAACCCTCCCCACCAAAAAAATATAATCACAAAACATACACCATATTCTTATAAATATTTTCATTAGATTTATAAACCATGGAGTCTTCAAAAGGGTACACATGCACCATACAGCTCACAAAGCCAGGAAGAAAAACTGGAGGGAAGAGACAAGGACGAACTCTGTCCCTGAGAGACAAGACGACCAAACAAACAAGTGCAGCGCTTGTAACATAAGACGTGTTTGCTAAGAGGTTCTGCCTTTAGCCTGGAGCGAGAAATAAGCCTTGAGGAGGTCGGATGGGAAACGTTAGACGCGTGGAGGGCTTCGCGGTCCAGATGGATCTGTGGCGTTGTAATTAAGGGACATTACGGTGGCACTCGCGTCTTCATAATTTCTATCCCAGCCCACTGAAATGAAAAAATTAAACTGTTCCCCCTTATACATTAGGAAAGGAAATGTTTTTGAAAAAAATTGAGGTTTATGGCCTAAAAATTGAAAATTGTTACAGTTTAATTATGTTAATTTCAATTACGTTTCTTTATGTAGTTTTTGTCTTTAAAAGAGAAAGAAAATTAATAGGCCTATGTGTACAGTTATTTCATTTTTTTCGTTTGTATTTAACATAAATATTTTAATAAATATACAAATGTACTTGTGTATGTATTGTATGCACTGAAATGAAAATATTTAGGCCTAACTGTTCCCCCTTGTACATTACAAACGGAAATGTTATTGAAAAAATTGAGGTTTATGGCCTAAAAATAAAAAATTGTTACAGTTTAATTAGGTTAATTTCAATTAAGTTTCTTTATGTAGTTTTTGTCTTTAAAAGAGAAAAAAAATTAATATGTGTACAGTTATTTCATTTTTTTCGTTTGTATTTAACATTTATATTTTAATAAATACACAAATGTACATGTACTTGTGTATGTATTGTATGCACTTAATGTGAAAAGATGTACTCTATGATAACAAAAAAGGATAGAAAAGTGGACACGATGTGAATACTGAGTGAACGCTGAGGTGTGCATGTAAAAAAAAAATGTTGGGGGAGGGGATTGCTTCATTTTGTTTTCTTGGAAACATTCAAGACAATGCAAAGTGTTGCTAAATCAGGTCATTTTTTGCACATTTTTTTTAATAATAATTATAAATTGTTTTTGTTGTAGAGTATTTTCAAGCCATGTTTGTGTTTAGTGCATCGTTTCAATGATTTAAATGAATACTCTCAGTTGTACAACAAAACGCACAGGTGTGGGCATGTTCATCTATTCAAACCGTGCACGAAAAGTGCCAGAGAACAAAAGAGAACAATCTCGTCCACGATTCTCAGCATACGTCCGCGATTGGGTTCGTGTACAAAACCTATGAGAGTCTTCCTACAAAGTTAGAGTACAAATAAAAGAGGGACAATAGGATGTCCACGATCGCCGGTGTGTACCGGTACACATTTGAATTTGCGTGTTTATGGTGTAAATCAAGGACGCACACGTGCAAGATCGTCGATGAATTTAGGACAGGAACCAAATCAAGAACATCCTCGATTATAAAACGTGTACAAAACCAATGAGAGCTATTGCACAAAAGTTAGGAGTACAGATCTGTATTTATAAGCAAAGGAAAAGGAAAGAGGAACATTAGAAAATCCTTGATTTACACCATAAACAAACCTGTGTGTATGGTGTAAATCGAGGACACACATGTGCAACATCATCAGTGAATCGAGGACAGAAACCGAATCGAGGACTCCTGGGTTGAACGTGTACAAAACAAATGAGAGCTGTTGCGAAAAAGTTGGAGTACAAACAAAGGAGAAGGGAAGAGGAACAAAAGAAAATCCTTGATTTACACCATAAACAAACGTGCTAGTGCATGTGCATGTACCGGTATCTCCAGGATTATACTAAAACAGTTCAGTTCGACTCCTAGGATACATGTACATGAAAACCCTGCAATATTAGCTTGTTGTTTTACTCCTGACTGGCATAAAATAAACATCCTGATTTGGGGATTGACAGAGTTTCACATGGAAGGGATCACGTGGGCGCTGACCAAATTTGGGCTTAGAGAGGAACAGCTGGATTTCCTGGTCAAGTAACTGTTGACTTTCCCTCATGTCCCACAGTTCACTGTGATTTCTAGGGCTTTGGGGTTTATTAATTCAAGGAAAACTAATTTTAAAATGGAACTCGACTTCTCTGTAAATTCGTTTTTGATGAAAGCATCCAATTTCTTTGCACAGGAGGAATCAAACCTCAAAATAATCATTCAACTGGTAGTAACACTTCAGCTGTGGTGTTTTTTGGGCCTTTGGTTCGTGCGTGAGACCTGGCAGAGAATTTAAATACACACACAAAAATGCTGGAAAATCCCAGGCAAATATTGAGAAAGCTGGATACATGTAGCACAGCTACAATATGCAACAGTCCCCAAGTTTCTACACCCCATACTTCTGGAGATACTTCAAGATATAAATTAAAGCTATAGTCCATCATTTGCCCATACGAAAAGTAACTGGCGTAATTATTGTTAAAAAACAAACTTGGTTGAAAGATAGTAAGGGATCTAAACTCCCTGTAAAATTATTCTTTCTGGGAAGCTGTCATTTTGAAGTAATCAACGAAAGAAGGCCTTTCCAACGGTGCGTCTTAAGACGCACCATAGGAAAATTTAAATTAGTAGGTCGTTTTGTTATTCGGCGCAGCGTGCGCAAAGCATTGGCACGACACACAGCCACACACGCGTGGTTGCTATAATTCGTCGGATCAGTGCGCGACGTCGCGTATAGCTGCAATTCAAAACAATTCAAAACATGATTCAGTAACTTTTGATTTGAAATTGAGATCCTAGAATGCTGTTTTTCTCGGAATATACAGCTGAAGCTGAGCTGAAACTTCATCAGGTTAGTTGTTCAGTATTCTTCATAAGATTTTGAACACTTTTGTTGCTTCAAACAAACAAAATGCACAAATTACAAATGATGGACTATATCTTTAATGTCTTGCCGGCTCTACTTTGTGTAGGAAATATTGCTAATTTATTAACTACACCGCATAACTCAAGCGCGTCCCCAGCCTAGTCAGTACATTGTAGCTTGCTAAGAGCGACTATTGATGTATCTGGGTATGTGAAATCAACAAGCAAATTATGGTTAGAAAGCTGAATAGTAAAGAACAACATACAACAACGCCCAAGTGAAAAACCTCAAAATATTTGGAGAAAATTCTAATTTCGAACAAATATCCTGGCGAGTTTTTTGTTGTGCGTAGCAATCCTTAAGTTTGTCCCTTGTTGTGCTGCCCATCCCCCCCCCCCTTAGAAATCGGGGAAGGCAAAAATGAGATTTTCAATTGTTATAAATGCAGTGCCCCCACCCCCTTCAAGAAAATTAGGCCTCCATTATTCAGGCATGCAACTGGGAATTTAGAATAAAACGAGGAAATTCCAAACAACACAAGACTTTGTACAGTGTTTTTCAATTTGTAATGGCATTCATGAGAAGTAAAAAACGAGGAAATCGGCGGATCCAAGGAAAAGTTGCATGCCTGATTTTTGCCGCCACCCTCCCCTATATATAGAACACCCAGGTACACCATAGAATGGATGGGCTATTGAAAATACAAGGAATGTGCATCCGGTTTCCTGTAGAGTGGAGCTTTTAGGAAGGAAAAAAGTAGCTAAGGGAGTTTAAATGTTTATAGAGTTGGAGGAAACGTAACAAGCTCAAGACTTACCCCTGTCCAGTTTTTGCATGATGTGTTTGGGCAGTTCCGGTAAGACGTACATGTTGGGCGGGTAGACGTACATGGCGTGCTCGGTCTTGCCTTGCATCTCCCGCTCCTCAACGACTTCCTTGCACAGCGTCAGGATGTTGCGGCGGAAATCCACGACCTCGGGATCCTTCATGGAGTCAAACTCCGTCACGGGCATGCCAATGGCCGTGCCTAGGATCGGATCAAAGATTTACAATGTAATCTTGATGTGTAACACTCATGAGGCCTCCACTGTGCCAACGCACTACATGCGTGCGCAGACACTCTTGTTTTACTTTACTCCCGAGGACAATGCTTTGTGTTTTTCTTTGTCCCTGTACTATAACACTCCACCATAGACTAAAGCAGAGGACCGTTTTGAACAAAAGACCCAACGCCCGAGGACTGAAAGGATCTGTTGTTCTCCCTTTGTGTGTCTGTCCTCGGGGGTTATGTACATGTAGAACACGTGCACACTGTGAATATATACTACCGGTATGTGCATACATGTACATGTACATATATATATATATAAGATTTGAGGCTTTGCATGGTGGGGTATCGGTATCGTTTCGGTTTTGCGGTAACACCATGTGGTAATAACTACTGCTTAGAAGATATTAGTTCTGAGAAGAACTTGTCCTGCTTATTATCAACTTGCTAAGTAGTTTTTGTTCTGTTTAGAACAGTCCTGCTGTAAGTTCTAAAAGAACTTGTCTTTGGTCTCAACGTTTCGACTAGCCTGCTCTAGTCATCGTCAGGAGACTGAAGATAGTTGGAGACGCTACTCCTTAAGTAGGGTTTGTTAGGATTAGGAGTGCTTGCTGGGCATGCCCTGCTCGCTCGGGTGTGTCAGTTGGTTGTGAGCCATGGGCATTGTGTTGAGGGGTGCCCGCTGAGCGTCCTAAACAGAACAAAAACTACTTAGCAAGTTGATAATAAGCAGGACAAGTTCTTCTCAGAACTAATATCTTCTAAGCAGTAGTTATTACCACATGGTGTTACCGCAAAACAGAAATGATACATATATATACACATGTACATACTTGTACGCATGACTTATTTTCATCCAAATGTGCACAAGACCAGACCCACGTCTTCTTCAGTTAGAAAACACTGACAATTTCAGGATTGCAACTGGACTCTATTTCACTTCAACTTTATCTGAATCTTTGCATGTCAGTTTTTACATTTTGCTCGCACCCCCCGTCCTGCAAACAGGACGCCGGGAAGGGCTGATGAATTAAACCTCTGATTGGATAGATTTTGCGTGACCTGTGACCTGCAAGTCATCACGACCATGACCCTGCAAGGTTTTAAACGGCCGTTAAGACAGAGTCACTACTCTTATATTCCCATTCGGAAATGCTTCTTTTTTTTTTCGTTCAAAAGCGTAATAATGTAGGAAAATCTGTAAAACTTATCCGTTTTGTAAATTTTCAATTTCCGTCACTTGCTAAGGCTCCGTTTCGAATTCACGAAGGGTCAAACTGCATATTATGCGACGTTCAAAATTTGTCCACATGGTCCGCAATGAAAAAAAAAATTGTGCAAAGTGCCCAGATGACCATGTACATGCTTACAACCTTGTCACAGCATTGAATAATTAGCACCTGTACTGGTACGTCTTCAAATAGAAGAAATTTGAGGGGAAAAATTGTGTACGGGATGTTTCACAACACCTACCTATTTCGTAATTGAGCATCTTTTCTTCCCGGTTCCCCGCCGGTTCCACCACCTTCAGCCAGGGCTGGAACAGCCGCAGGTCGCACAGCCGCCGGCCCTCGTCGTAAAACTCCTCCCGCTCGGCATCCTGGGTAATGGTGACGAAGATGTAGGACGAGGCCTCGCTCAGCTTGTTGGCGAGGGGGAGTTTCTTGGCCTCCTTCCACAGGAGGGCTTTGACGTTCTCCAGCGTGGCCTCGCGCACGCACTCCAGGGGAACGATAATTCCCGTCGGAAGGAGGCACTCAATGTTGATCTTGGCTGGCATAAAATGCGAGCCCCAGAGCTCGCCCGAAGACGGCGGCATTTTGGTGGTCCCAAGTTTTTGCTTACTTTTTTGGAAGATCAAATATCAGTCAAATTTGACCTTTTTCAGGGGTAATTGAGAAAAGTTGGTGTTACCTTGTTCCAGTTTGTGATTGGCCGCTCTTCCCCTTTGTTTCGAAGGGAAGGGAACGCATTTTTAGAATCGACTGTCACGATATTTAGTAGACAACTTTCGTAAATTGATGAAATCAGCTCGAAGATGACAAATTCATCATTGAACACTTGCTTCGAGTTTTGTACCAACTTTGAGAAATGCTGATCAACCTTTTTTTAACAAATTAACAAAATTAGCATTGATTTTCAATTGATGATGCTTCACAAATTTAAGACGCCTGCTTTTTTATGATTCTATTTACAATTGTTTTGTACTTTTCTTCTGCAATTCTTAAAAGTATGAATTCCTCAAACAGATTCTGACATTTCCAACAAGCTTCTTGTATTCTCTTGACGTCAGATTCTGGTGAAACTTTAACCTGTCTTCTGGTTTAAACTCAACACTCAGAATTTTGGCTCAAATTTCCCCGGATCGCAACCTTTGGAACAAGACGCTCATCGATTCTCCACCCTTGTTTACCGGCCCGTTTTGTACCAGAACTTTAAAGGTCAAGCACGCAGTTCAGTTTCTCGTATCACAGGTAGGATTTCTCCAACTGGTTTCAAAACCCACGATACGATCACCGGAATGTAGATATCTCTCGTCGCTTGTCTCCAGTTATCTCTATCAAAATCTCCTGAAGCTAGTACGTGGATGCGTCCAACTGTTGGAAACGTAAAGATAAAGTTTCGTTTCTCCGGTTTCCCGAACAACCAATCTTCACAGTGCAAGCACTGTCACTGATCCTTCTAGACGAATACTCCTGCCTGTTCTCTCCACTTTCCAGAAAAGCGAGGATAAAAAAAATTCTGCGGCTTGCGAACGGTTGGCCGCGGATCTTTATGCCAACTGAGGAGAATGCATCTGATCGTTAAGAATTCACGATGGCTGAACGTTTAAGTCCAATCTCCGTCCCTCTCATCGCTCTGCGTCTCGAGGGTCTAATTAAAACGGATATTTGCAGGGCATTTCAGCTGACATCTTAATGTCGCGCTCCCCTTGGTACACCTGTCCGGTTAAGCAGGGAACTTGTTTGCTGCGCAAATGGGGAAAAAACTTCAGTTCAATAAAGTACCATAAATTGGATACTCTAAGCAAGTTGTGTATTGAACAGAACAGTAACATGCACAAGATGAAATTCACATCAACACTGGCATTACTGTCGATGGAAATTCCTTTGCTTTGATTATTTGTCAAAAACAAAATTTACTGCGACAAATTGACAACTTGAGATGAACAAAGTCAGACCGCATTTGACATTTTTGACAACTAACATGTTGGATCTTGTTATTTGATAAATTGTCAAGATGCGGGAAATGCTTGTCAAAGTTGTCACGCACTTTTCTCTTTATATTAAAACTCTAAACAACAAAATGTGAATTTCAGTATGAAGCAAATTTGTCAGGGTAACGGCGAACGTCACAGTGAAACCTCGATTGTTGACGTTATGATTTTTTGCTTCACTTTCGCTTTCTTGTGAAGTATGAAGCTGCCTTAAAGGGGCAATGCGATGATTTTTCTTGGAAACACATTTTGTGCAACATTCTAGTGCTCTTACATGTAAATGTGTGAAAATTATTTGACATCCTGTTTTGATTAACTTTATTGAAAAGTGCAAGTTTCTTTAGATATTTAAAATGTTCCATGCTTTTCCGGACAACTGGGGGGTGCTGTTGCTGTGATGTCATTTCAGGAAGACAAGTGTTCAGTTTAGGGGTTTTCTGTTCAAATTGTGAACCCAAAAATTTGCTCATTTGTCTAGGAGTGTTTTTCTTTTGTTTGTGGCTATAGGCCTACATGTACGTGCTGGCTCAAACTTCAATCTTTACATGTAATAATCCCTACACTGAACATTACGGAAATGCCACTGGCAATGTATCATGTTATTTCGTTGATGACCAACCCATACGTACATAATTATGAAAAGTGGCTTGCAAGGAGGGTCATGCCACTTTGCATCAAGCCATTATTCTTAATGGGCTCCTTCTTGCGTTCACCAATTACCCTTAAGGAGGACATTACTTGTGCAAGCATTAAGCACCGTAGATATATCGATATTACTCGATTAGGCCTATTTGATATTATTTTAATATCGATATCGCCGATAACAATTTTTTAATCATATCGAAATATCGATATTTTCAATATTGAGGAGTGATATCGAAAATATCGAAAATGTGTCAGATTATCCCGAAATTAAATCTCCCATTTGTGCTTTTACTGTACAAGTGTTAGGGGCCTAAACATTTGCTGTATAATGAAATAAAACTCAGATCTACAGTCCATCATTTGCAGCTATCCAAAAAGTAACTGACGTAATAAGTGTTGAAACACATACTTGATTGAAAGATAGTCAGAGAACTAAACTCCCTGTGAAATTATTGTTTCATGCTGTCATTTTGAAGAAATCAATGAAAGAAGGGCTTTCCAATGGTGTGTCTAAAGAAATTTCCGTTAGTACCGATAGTTTTTTTTTTTATTCGGTGAAGTGCACGCAAGCGTTGACACGACGCACACACGGTTGCTTTTATTTGTCGGATCAGTGCGTCACATCGCGTAGCTGTAATTGGCTCAGTGAGAACGTGTCTCCGACCCTGAATTCAGGCCCAATTCAAAACATGACTCAGCAACTTTTGATTTGAAATCGAGATCCTAGATGTTGTTTTTCTCGAAATATAGGCCTACAGCTGAAGCTGAGCTGAAACTTTATCAGTTGGTTGTTCAGCACCCTTCTTTAGATTTTGAGCACATTTGTTGCTTCAAACATATACAAAATGCACAAATTACAAATGATGGACTATACCTTTAACTTGTGAAACTATGGACAAATAAGGTCATGGATTTCAAATGCCTCATCAAACTTGTGTCCAATTACACATGATTTATATTTCATTCGCTTAATCATCTGAGCTTGATAACTTTGCTCTTTGACTTTAAAACTTTGTCATTTTTAGACTTTTTCCAATAAGTGCAAATAGTACGGTATCTTTAATATAAAATGTAAGTGGCGGCCATTTTGAAGTTTAAAATGACTGTTTGAGTGTACTGTCAAGGAGGTCAGAATTGGATATAATATAAAAGATCAAAACATAAATGTCTTAAAAGTCGGTTATTTTGTCAATTTATAGGGGGCTATGTGTACAACATGTAGGATAGATGTTTAAAATGGCTGCCATTTGGACATTCAAAATGGCAACCCGAGGGGCGTCGGAAAAAATGGGACCAGGCGTTTTTTTGGGACTTGTTGAGGTGTCCATAGGTGATCCTGAGAGTTTCAAAGAATGTATTTATAGTACACCCCTGAAATGCATAAAGTCAGTAATTGGCCCAGTTCTGTTTGCCTGTCGCGCACCGCACAGCGCCGCGCCACCGTGGACAGCTACCGCACACCGCGCCGTCCCATGGTACAACCTACGTGCATGACAGCGCATGCGGTATGGCTATTCCCGGATAGTCTAGTGACTTGTCTGCAAGTCTAGGGGACAGACCGCGCACGCGCAGTGCATGTCTTTTGCACATTTACAATATATGTATGTTCAATCATGGAATGATGGTCGCCATGGCATGTTTATGCCAGATTATCTCTGATTATCTCCGTCGCATCGCCTGAGCGACAAGATCGATAACTATTTGCATTTAAACGCGATGTCACAGCTTTGGGGTCATCGCTTCTTACATTCAAAATGGCTGCCATCAAAAGACAATTTTCGGGTGCATATAATTATGGACTCCAGAAAGATGCCAAAATTTCTTGAAAAATTGGATACAAGGCCAAAAAAAAAGAAGTCGGTCTCTGGTCAGCGCGCGCGTCGATTTTAATCATGCGCGTCAACCTTTTTTTTTTCTTAAAATTGTCCGCAGTAGGTACAATAGTGCTCTCTATTGCCGCACCTCCTCCAATTTTTGTACCAAGGAATGGGGAAATTGCACCAAGGCAAATCATGGAGGGCACAAAGGCAAATTATGGAGGACACCAATGCATATGAGGACACAAAAAAAACAAAAAATAGTACCCACCTTGTCTGTACAGTCCAAGCTTGAAAAAAAAAAAGGAAAGAAGCTCAGACATCATAGAATACAACCGAATGTCAAATAATTTGCGCTGTTTTCGGACAAACTCCTCAGTAGTTTTGGGAACCTGGCCTGTGGCCAGAGGGTACAGCGCATCAATACCGCGGCCACACTAGTGGAGCTAGGTATTCCAAGCTAACCTAAAAATGTCATTCATCATTGTGAATATCAAAAAAGTTTCAAAGACAAAGTGCTAGGCCTACTGTCCTGACATGACTGACAAAATTGCTACCAGTATAGCTGGAGTTAGCTCAGCCCTAAATTTTATCATTGAGTTGGGCTGGAGGGAATCGTCAACATGGACTAGCAGATATAAAATCTGAAGTCGAAAATGTGCCATTTTGTCCCCGTAACACACTAATTCCCCCTGGGACTCATCCAAACCTTGCCCGGCATAACCACTACACAGGTCCTTGAAGAAAATAACGATCCACGACAAAGATTCAGCCTACAATTGCAGTGAAAAGGAGGCATTTTACTGACAGCCGATCAAGTTCGTGTCGCTGGCCAGAGCTGCAATTGGTTTGTGTACAAACAAAATTCGTGTAAAAAAAATGGCAATTGCGCGGTCGATTACCATGCACAGCGCGCGCACCAGTCAAACTTGCCAACTGCCTGTTTAACCCTAACCGCCCTGAATCCTCCAAAATCCTTTTTGCAAATTGGAGGAATTTGCAGGATTGAGGTTACATGGCAAAAGTGGGTTGCTGATTTCGGAGTACGCACTGTGTCAAGGTCTTGGGCCGGACCTTGTGTTGTTTATGCTCAGCCGTGCATAAATTTAGCCCTTGATTATACTTGACATCCTCCGCACTGCTCCAGGATGTCACTGCCTCTGCCTCAGCCTATTGACAGTCATAGCCAGAGGATTTTGCAGGATTCAGGCAGTGGTCACCCCTCCATGGACCATATTCAAGAAATAGCGGAGGAATTTGCAGGATTGAGGCTATATGTTATTTTTCCATGAGGCCAATTGGAGGATTTGCAGGATTGAGGCTACATCCTAGCAAAAAGGCCTAGGGAGTTAGGGTTTTAATGTACCTCTGTTGCATAACTACACATGTGAGGCTGCATGTACGTTTGCGTATCAAAATTTCAACATGAAATTGCACGAAAAATAGACATCTGAAAAAGGCAGCACTTTCTGATTAGCCTATAAAGAGGGTGAGTTCGCTTCTAAAGCAAAAATAAACTACAAACTAAGCCTAAATGTGAAAATCAAAATTTGACAAAGTTCGACATGTTTTTGTACATGGTGGAAGTGTGGTCTTTATTTACGGAGGTAGTTCAGTAAATTGGCCACATTTATCGGGCTACATGCAGTAGAACGGCAGCCGAAGTTGACCGACCAACAGTCGTCAGGTGTGCGCTTAAGGGCCAGTTGGCAAGTTTGACTGGTGCGCGTGCTGTGCATGGTAATCGACCGCGCATTGCCATTCCTTTGTACACAAATTTTGTATTTCCGAACAAAGTTGGAAATGTTTCTCAGTCCCAGATTCATGTCTTATCATCTTCATTGAGATGATGAATAAAAAAGTGGCTTCAGGTTGCAATATTATTTCCAAGACTGTTGTATCCTGACGCTACTCCGAGCGATCGAACCGAAAATGACTGCGATCATTCTGCGCGCGTGCACGTTTCAAGTGTCAGGTTGGCTCAGTGCGGAAAGGGCATATTTTTCATCATTTTTGCTGAAAAACCGACAGAATCCACCGATGTTTGTTTGGTGCACATAACGTGAGTATGTTGTCATGAGGTATTGTACGGAGTTTAGGGGTAAGCTGTGCAGCAGTTCTGTTGGAAATAGCTTGGTTGTGATGGACGTTTTTGTACTTAGTTGGTGTTTTGTAGAGGCAAACAGTTTTGCGGGGTAAGCTGCCTATGTGAGGCTCCACTATGTGGAGCCTCATACTGTCATAGTTCTAGGAGTATCCTGACGCCACTGTTTTCATTGTATATTATTATCTCACTGAAGGTCAGTCATTGCAAAAATGTTGAAAAGACTTGGGAAAGATTCCCAGAAAGATTCCCAATCCCATATCTGGCCATCACTTGTCACCCTGTGCACACAGCCACAAGCCAGTGACTATGTAAAAAAAAGTATGAGACTGGTCTGAAAATTTCTAAGTGTTTTCTCAATAAATACCCCAATATTTTTCCTGCTAAATTTGACTTATTAGGACCACTTTCTGATGGCTGATTGATAGGTCACTGAAGGAAACAATTAGTGTTGGCCAGATATGGGAATCTTTCCAAGACGTGAATCTTGGACTCAGTGAGAAACATTTCCAATTTTGTTAGAAAATACTTTGAAAATGACTTAGGCCTAATTCTCCATAGACTTTGTACACAACCGCAGAAGTGACGTCTAACTACTACACTCTTTCCTGAAAACGGCCTAACCACTAAACCAGTCCCCTCTGTACTTTCTTGGAAAAGAAATTTTGGAATTTCTAAATAAGTACTTACTTAGTAAACTTTCTGTCAAAATTCACAATCACAGCAAAATTCACAGCAAATTCACGTCGCACGCACCACACCGGCGATGTCCAGTTGTTTACCAGACCACAATGCATAGCGCGGTCGCCAAATGCAAGCTAAAAAGAGAAAAATAGTGTTAATTTGCTCCATACAGTTGATGCACAAAATAGTCTGACAAGGTTGCTATAGAGGGCGCTGTTTAAAGCGGCTGCTTATCGCAGAGCTTCGTCTTCAAAAGAAAATTACTCTACGGTTGGCTACATGGAGCGCTTTCATTAATTAAATAATAATACTAGGAAATGGTTACAAGAATGCAAGTTGACTGCAGATTTGTTTTCAGAAAACAACATTTTTCTTTTGTCCCTCAGAAGATGAGGTCACAGACTCTAGAGGGAGCTCAAGCCCCAAGGACAACCATATTTATTTTCCCCCATTCTCTGCCACTTGCTAGCAGAATTTCAGATTTTTGGAAGTCGCGCCACCCGTTTAAATGAATAACAAAATCAATTTGGATTTTTAAATTGACGACTCTCTCTGACTCGGCGCCCCCAAAGTGGACAACTGGTCGAATTTGAAATGGCAAGCAAACATCGGTGGAATAAGATTTCTGCGAGTCACACGTACAACTTTGGTACCGTCTAGACGTTGTTTGTCGATTGGATGCGCGCGTCCCATCTGGACATCCACATCGATTTTTTTTGGTCTACTCTCCCAGTGTAAATTACGTTAAAATGGAAATTATAGCAGTTGCTTAGTCCTTTTTTTCGTGTTTTCTTCACCCCTCCGATCCCTTTTAGTGGAGTCGGTGGGGCTTTTTATCAGCGCGCGAGAGTGGGCATGCAATTAAGCTCGAGAGGGCGTCCCAGGCCCAAACAATTCCCCAATTCCCAATGCACGTCGGTAAAGGATTTTGAAACTAGTGAGAATTCAGAATTCCAACACCTTTGCAGCATATTGCTTGTATTGCTGATTTTTTTTTTAAATAAATATTTCCGCATAATATTTTTAATATTAGTGGAACTTGACACTTGTAAATCGTTCAAAAGTTTTGTTTGGGAGGCCAGCTGTATAAATTCACTGAATATAGCTCAACACTGAGTGCATAATGGCAAATGGTTAAAGGCTAAAAATGCCTTTATTATAAGAAGTTCTGTTTCTCGCGTGTTACATGATATTCACCATTTTAACTTGCACAACCAAAAACAAACATACCACGGCAGCCTCGCTCTGAAAAAGTTCTGTACGCATAGCAACCAATGCAACGTAGCAACAGGCCTAAGACGTAATGACGTCACGCTTTGTCTACATGTGCGCTTTCCTATGTAGTAGACGGGCCCCACTTTATCTGGCGTCCCGACTTCGCTCCCATAGGAAAGCGCATATGTAAACAAAGCCATTACGTCATTACGTCTCAGGTCTATTGGAGGTTATGGGCACATGCGTACAGGTATATTGCGCGTTTGGTTCCCATGTGCTACACTGACAGTTGTGTACAAATATTTTACATTTCATGAATTAAGGGTAGTTTGGGGAAAAAAACAGGTAACGTTCAATTAATTTCATAATGAAAATGAAGAAGTTCATCTAGGCCTATCGATTTAGGATTAATTCATCAAATATCTATGACTCGGGCAAACAAAACAAAATATAAGAAATGTTGACTGCTTTAGGTTTAACACATGGTAAAGCTATACAGCCTTCCTCGGCGATCCAATGAGCCTTCTATTTTCCCCCAAACAAAACAAAAAAGCAACATCAAACAGTACAGTAGGGCACAGGATTCATGATCGTGAGATTATGGGTTCGAGCACCGCCGTGACCATGCGTGTTGTGCCCTTGAGTAAGGCACTTCACCTCAATTACTTCTCTCAACACAAAAATGCGCACTCTATCATCACACACTTGAGCAAAGTTGTCTACCTTTGATTTTAGCTCTATAAAAATGTTTTATACATTTTTCATACTTTTGACAGTAAACGTTTTGATTTTTTTTTGTTATCAATTGAGCAAGCCCTCGAAGTAGGACATCACTTTATGGTTCGTCGGTGAAGGGCAAATGCCTACTGCTAAACTTGTAGGGGAAAACCACTAGGCCTACACCAAAATTGTAAGCGCCGAAAAGTTACAACTGGAACCGGCACGCTTCGGTTAATGATATCCGCCGGGCGGGCGACTTTAGTCACTATTAGCAAAACAAATATTGCACTGTTTCATTCAAAACCGGTGACGTTTGACCCAAGTTCAGTTAATCGATCGAGCTGTGTCTATATCAAAGAGAATTTCGTAACTATTGTTAATTGGGAAACAGGTCGGTTTGCAAGTTGAAGATTAGGCCAACCATTATGCATCTGGATAATGGCCTGGAACCCGGCCTGCCCCTCGCTGGTTTGAAACGGGGTCTCCCCGATGTTCCCCAATACCTGTGTTCCCCAAAATCCTTATGGGAGCATTGCCCTATAAATTCAAGTGAGAATTTCTACGCGATCTCATTAACATATAAAGTGCCCCCTACACAACTTCTTTTGAAAACGGAGACCATTTGGCTTTAAAAACGGTGGAATTGTGTAAATTATAGCCAAGGATCAACTCCCTGGTTTTGGGGCTTCCATCTGAGGGCAGGCTTGATAAAATTACGGTTCAAAATGGGTCCTATTTGCCTGAAAAGGGGAAGGATGCCACTTGTAAAATGGCTACATGCAGGCTTGGGAACTACCTCTTTTCGGGAGGTGATTAAATTATTGTCTTTTCCTTCATCTTTTCATTTCTTTTCAATTTTGGGTAGACTATAGCCAATTACATTTGTAAATATTCACACCAAAACAATTTACAGATGTAATTGGCTAGTCTACCCAAAATTGGAAAAAAATGAAAAGATGAAGGAAAATACAATAATTTAATTTTTGTTCGAGGAACCCTATGTGATGTCGGCTTGCATGTATTTGGCCCTAAACTTTGTAGATTTTGCACCGTTTTCAATGGGGTTTGAATTAGTTCAGCGCACCCTCAGGGTTAGGCCTACGGTAAGGGTTAAGGAACATAGGTATACTATTGGGGAACATAGGTATAGGGAACATAAAAATATTTATACACCTGTTTGAAACAGAACATTTAGTGGCTTAGTCCATAAGCCAAGGATAGTCTTGCCTCCAAGACTTCCAAATTCATGGCGTTTTTTTTTTACTTTTCTTCCCAGGTTAAATCTATCCTCCTTTGTACTCGCAATCTTCTAACATTTTTTTTAAAAGTACATTCCCGGCTCTGACAAGAATCGATTCGATCGCTCTATTATTAGAGTCCTGCACTCTAAAAACAACTTAGTCAAAATATTCAATGGTTTTCCTAGGTATTGGAAATTGACTAGGAATTTAGTTAAACATGCAGAGTTTCTAGAGAAAGTAGTTGGAAAGTAGTTCAAATTTGAGTTATTTGTATAACTATTTTTCCAAAGTCAATAATATTGACTGGACAAATCTAGTCACATTGACTGATTTTCAGTTGCACCCAGCTGACCCTGCATAGCTATCTGTAAGTCAAATCCGACTGGTTTTTTATTTAGAGTGGGACTTGCATTTGCACGAGAGGGGCGGGGGGGGGGGGCATGGGCGTCGCCAGGATTTTTTCTAGAGGGCGGCAAACATTTTTTTGGCCAAAAAATGCTTGTATTTCTCAACACATTCTCGATTTATCAGTTTTAGAGGGGGGCAGGGACATTTTGCCCCTCCCCCCCAACTCATTAAATTTACACCACTTTGTCTTCGCGCCTCTTTTTCTTCCTTTTTTTTTTTTTTGCTTTTCCGGGGGGGGGGGGAGGGCAAGTGCCCCCCTTGCCCCCCCCCCTCGCGACGCCCATTGGGGGGGGGGGGGGGGAGGAGGAAATGCAGGGAGCATAAAACTCGTCACCTCCACGATACTACTTTAAGACCTTTCATAGTCATGAACAAGTAATTCGCTCTTTTCATGCTTCCACCATAGGCTATCTGGCAACTTTACACAATAAATATACCCGGTTCAGTGAATGATTCCCGTGTCGGGGATCAGATCACTGAACCGGCTATTTTCATTGTGTAAAGCTGCCAGATCGGGGCTCTGCATGCCTATGGCGGAGCGTGAAAAGAGCGAGTGTTGGCCTACTTTTAGTGTACCAGGAAGTTGACATAAATATTTAGGGTTTAAGAAGTTTTGTTTTCATAATTAAGTTAAACAATGTCATTCTTGGTTTCGGGATCACCGTGGGAAAGACACCAAGTTGGATTGGAATAAATGAGCTTGTTATTCAAAACGATCCTTGGATCGTTCCTAATTATCCACAGTTTATGCCTATAGGGCTCTGTATTAAATGTATGCTCAGGCCTATATCTATTTGCTATTTGAGATATGGCAGGAGGGCGCTGTTTGATTTCAATTTGCTAGACATTCAACGTTGTTTCTCATATACAAAATTGATGTTATAATTACATGCATTATACTTTTGTATTTACCCAAACCAAATGGCGTCCTCCTATCCTCCACATCTAATATATGCTAATAAGGCTCTGCAGACCTACCCCACATTGCCGGGTTCGAGGTTGAGATCAAAAGCTGCCTGAGACTTTCGACAGTCATTACATTATTTTTCATGATTTTTGATTCGTCCCTTTTCAAATACGCATGATTTTGCAAGCATGGTTATAAGCAGTGTTTGGCTCATATGTCCGATACGGTACGTGGGCTCAAACCCTGCCAGGAACATGATGTTTGTGCCCTTGGGCAAGACACTTAACTACAATTGCCCCATCTCCACCCGGGAGTATGAGGGGGGGGGGAAAGGAATTCTAAAGCGCTTGGAGACTGTTGATACGATGGAAAGCGCTATGATAAGCATTACCAGTAAACCATTACAAAGGTTCAAAGGCGCTATGGCCAAATTACTTCCTTTGATCATGTGGATTTTGATTTCAGTCGTCAGATATCAAACCGCATGACGACATAACAACTAACTTTCAACAAATCAAACAGCGACTAAAATTAAATAACCAATCACAATCAGTTCCTTGTCTGGTCAGGTGGAACACACGTGACGTGTAAAACCATATACTCCAGCGGATAAGATACTGTAAACATTATAGTCTCACATGAAACTCTCGGAGTCAGAAACAGGAAATATACTTTTGGTGACGGTGCACCGGAACGTCTTTTATAAATATTTAGGATCCAAGTTATTCTTGGTTTCGGGAAGACCGTGGGAATTAACACACCAAGTTGGATGGGGAGGGGATTTGCATCCAATATTCTTCTTGAATCGTTCTTCCGAAGAGCAAATAATTATGTTCTGGGGCCTAGATGCAAACCTCACATTGCCTGGAGGTTGGGCTAGGGTGTCAGAAGTCACATTTTTTTATTCTTGAATAAACCTTCCTTTTAAAACAAGCATGATTGTTCACAGGGTTTGACCTTAACTTTTTCTTTCACTAGCCAGCCGGGATGCTGAAACAGATTCTTAACTAGCCCGCCGGCATTTTCACTAGCCCACATGTTTTCCTGTCATGTAGAGTGTCTCATAAACAACAATGTGCATACATCTTAATATATCCTGAGGCAATCTTATCAATGTTTTTAATAAACAGATCTTATAATTTAACCCTAAACAGTTAAAAAATTAGACACAAATTGATACAGGTTTGCTTTCTGAATTTAATGATTTCTTTCTTCCTGTCCTTTCATCTTTGCCGTAGCTCAATAATTATTAACTCTCTAGCCGGGCTACTTAACTTAAGGAATAGTTTGAATATAGCCTGCCGCTGTTTTGACTAGTATTTGGCTAGCAGGCTACCGCTAAAGTTGAACCCTGGTGTGCAAGAATTGTTAAATTGTGTATTTTTAAATCTCCTTTAATCATGTAGAGATTTTACATTCAGTTTCAGGTATCGACCCACGTAAGACAACGTATAACAACGTACGATCTAAAATCAGCTGAACTTTCAACCTATCAGATTGTGGCTTAACTTAACTAAGCAATCATAGTCATCAGTTTCTTTCCTGGTCGGGTGAAAATCACTTGGCACGTAAATAACTTACTTAAGTAGTGGATGCAATGTAAATATTGAAACTCTCAGACACAAAAGGTATATATATCAGACTCCTGGAACAAATTTTCATTCACAAGCTTCTGGCGTTGCAATTGAAATTATACAACGTACATTCCTTTATCGTCGTCAAAGTTCTACCAGATGTCACAATTCCTGGGAACAACAGACTACAGACACCTTTGCAGTGTTTGTTGGGTCAGGAATTCAGAGGTGCACGTCCTTTAGAACTTTTGCCAGGAGGACCGTGAGATACCAGCCGACGGTTAATTGTGCTAATACCCAAACGGCGGCACAAAACGTTTACTTGACTCTGAAGCACCCAGATAGGAAAAACGGAGCAAAAGCTTTTATCGGACTTTGCGTCTGACCATGGTCTGACAATTGATCGCCAATTCGACGGAAGAGTCATCAGCACCTAGTGATGCATGCTTGGTAGTGACCCCATCGTCTTTATGCCCCAGCTCCGTGTTCAATCACACCTGAAAGTTTGAGGTACCCTATAGGCCGAGCATTTTCGCCAAGAATGAACACCGATCCAACCCATCGACCAGAACAGAGAGGCATATAGTGCACTGCTCTCCGAAGGACTCAGCAGGGGCCAGGACCTACGGCTTTACATCCCATCCGAAGGACCAAGCATTAATGGTCAAGTGCCTTGCTAAGGGAACAAGTGTCTAGACCCGGGCTCGAACCCACATTCTGCTGCCTCTGAAACACCAGAGCATGAGTCCGGTCCGGTTCCATGTCACATACAAGTGACCGTTGGTCACAATTTACCTTGGATGCTGTAGACAGTCTTGATCGTCCAGTCCTAGACACTCATCTCAGTTGGGCATCCTGTGTTCTTACAACCAAGTTCAAATAAGCTCCCAATAGGGAAATACGTCTGTATGACTCAATCATAGGCCCGCTTCATGCTGTCAACAGGACTACACCTTTTACCAGCAAGATTTAGATCTGGATGCTCTGAATGAGGACGTCCTTAGCCAACTCAAACGTTCCTTCGATCATTTAATATACCCAAGGGCTTTCTGAAGTAGACCATGCCTGGCGCGGCCCGTGGTACATCAGTTATTACCTCTGCTTTGCAAGGCTGTGGCAATACTGCCAAACTCTTGACTTGACAAAAATCTGTCTGTGACAAAAGAATTTTGGGAATCCTCACAAAAAAATAAGTGGCCCCATTTGGACGGACTTGTTGAAGACTAAACAGCTGTCATTTACGACCCCCATGATCTTCACGTTCGAACCTCTAGATTCTGAATGAACTAGACTCTTCAGTCACAACGAATCAAGACAAACGAAAGATTGCATCTCTCGCAACACTTGTCAATGTGCACACTTTACAGCATTACACACCTGTTTCGGACGCAGCTAGCTCGACTCTTTGCACTTTTCAAAGTCTGGACTTTCAATACTCCGGCGGGGTGAAATACTTTCTCCAGGATCAGGAAGCCAAGGTAAACCAAACATTCCCCTTGGAATTGCGTCTGATGAATCTGTGTTTACATTAGTCGTGTATAAAAACAATGTTTGACCAGTGTGTATTATGGTATAATGTTCCATGCTTTACTTTAAAGGCTTTGTTTTTAAATACAACTTAAGGATTATATATTGTTTTTGTCTACCTTTAATACATCACCAAACCTGGGACGTTGTGGCACACTGTATTTCGAATCCATTTTTTGAAGGGAAAAAATCAAATCAGGCAAAATCAAAACAGACAACCATGGAAGTTCCGGTTGAAATTTATGGGAATGCCTCCATGAGTTTTAGTCAGCGTGACTTCCTCGTGTGTACGTTCTTCGCTTGCATCCTCCACAATGCGAGTGATTGCGAAGTATCGTACCTACTGCCCAACAATGGTTCCATGCCACTGATAAGTTACGATGACCTCTCCAACACCACGTACGATGCCCTTACCCTTGGGGCTTTGAACGGCTCCGATGAGACGGTGTTCAATCACAGCGTGCCGCTCATCTTTTTTACTGAGGAAACTGCCTCAGTTGCGGGTTACGTGTCCTCAACGTTTGCCGTTGTGTTTGCCTACGTTGTGCCCTGCATAGCGGCCTGCGGTGTGCTCACTAACCTGACCTATCTTTTCACGCTGTGTCGAGTGCAGGCCTTACGCAACGTGACAAATTTCTATCTGACCAATCTGGCAGTCGGGGATCTTCTTTTATTGGTAACATTTTACGTGTTCCCTGCCATACAATATTCGGTCTTAAACCCACCACGCCATATCCGCACTCGCTACTTAGTAGACAGTGTGTCAAAAGGCATCGCGCATGCTACCACCTTTCTTGGCGTAGCCTTCTGCACGCTGGTCAATGTGGAGAGGTACAAGGCGATTTGCCATCCACTCAAGTACATGCGTGTTCAGAGCTGGAAGAGGGCTGTAAGGCTTGTGGTCTTGACGTGGGTCATAGCCGTTGCGTATGGTTCTGTTGCTCTTTTTTTCGACACAGCGCGTGTGCCTCCGTTGACAGCTAACTGTCAAATCTGGCCGGATAAGGAACCATATCGTTCACTGACGGGACTTCACGAAGGCCCCGACATGCATGCCGTCTCAAATGACCTTTTAGACCGGGAAACGAGTGTAAAGGCGTATGGAATTGCCAGGATCGTGTTTCAATTCTTGACAGTGTTAGTCAACGCTGTCTTGTACATTCTCACAATCCGGAAAATTCGCAAACCGTCGCCAGCGGCTTCGGAGAACCCAAAATTTGCCCGCAGACGCAATCGCATCACAGCCATGCTCATGATCAATGGGGTGGTGTTTTACCTATGTCTCCTACCAGCTTCAATTCTTGAAACGACCAACATCTTTATGGTGTGGGGGGCTGGGACCAATTGGACCCCGACACTCGATGAAGCATTCTCCTATGTGAATTTCGTAACTGGCAGCTACTGTTTTACTGGCATCGCGAAGGCTCTTAATGCATCACTGAACCCGATCGTATTCAACGTCGGGAGCGCGGCGTACAGGGAGGCGTTTGTCCAAGCCTTCTGTTGCTGCAAGAAGAAGCCAGCTGGACGGACAGAACACATCGCAATGCAGAACATTAATACCAGACGGACCTAACTCCCCTATGGACCTGAGACATAATGACGTCACACTTTGTTTACAATGTGCGCCTTCCTTTGAGAGCCAGGTGGGGACGATCGGCTAGCGTCCCCACCTGACTCCAGTAGGAAAGCGCACATGTAAACAAAGCGAGCCGTCATTATGTCTTCGGTCTATTGGGTCCGCGCCTGCACATAGAGGGCGTCATTGTCAAGGCTTGCACGCAACGACGTCAAGCATACACCCGAAGATGCACACGAGGATGAACAATTGTACCCACGTACTGAACTATACCCGTGGTAGGCCTACATGTGTGTTGCAAGTAAACCCATACGGAATGCGTTTACTGTACATATGATCGCAGCGTGGCGCGCGCCGGGCGGCGAACACAATCCGGTCCATTGAATTAAAGACTAGAAGTTGCTGATGATATCGCCTGCTATGTTTTTAACCATTTTGAGAGTTCTGATCCGGTGATACTGGTAGTGCACGTGCATTTCAGTTTCTATGAAATACGGACTCATTGGTAATAATGCGCACGTCACTAGCCAAGATAATTAGGACGTGACCGGTCACGTGAGAGGGTGTAACCAATAAAAGGATTAAGGAGTCCGATTTTCATAGGAATCTGATTTTCATAGGACACCGGACTTCTGAATTGCTCCCCGAGGCCTACCATACTTGGCGAATGATTTCAAACATTTTAGTCACAATCAAAGTTGGTAATAGATTTTTTTTAATTTTTTGAATGTTACTAATCATTATTGTACAAAAATAAGAAAATTGGAGGTAATATGGCCTTTTGAAATGAATCAAAGGGTTTGGTGGTCAAAATGTAATTTTGTGTAGTTAGGCCTTATAGGGTCTACATTTTACGAGTTGCATCACTGTGTAAATACTGATTGTTTAAAAAGATAATGTCATTGTAAGCATTTAGAAGTTACTTAAGGGATCATGCACTGTATTTGTTAACTGCACCACTGACAATGTAATGTCTTCAATGACTTGCAAGCATTAAAACCGAAGACCACAGAATTATAGCTCCAGTGCTCCAGAGCTGTGTCTATACACAGCATGTATGCGTTGTGTCGTAACATCCTCTAGATCTGTTTTTCCTTTGTCCTGTTCTGGAAACGTTACGAGGATGAAGATGTCCACGAGGAAGACTGTCTCATGAGCTGTAAATTATCTTGTAAGATTGGAAACTAAAGCTTTGTATTTCTGGAAATTAAAAGCGTTACAAAATTAATTGTGCAACAGTTGTGCCATATACATGTAATACCATTGTACATGTACTGTGTGGTTCGGAACTGCAAAGACAATGTATACAATACAGATCACTGATATCAGTAGACATTTGATACTAATAATTATAATAATAATCAAATATGTAAAAAAATATATAATGTACTAATCAAAATATAGGCAAGATCAATAAAAATTATTCATTCCCTCAAAATAGGGAAGTATAATGTGATTTGTAAAATGTAAATTCATTAAGAATCTAGAAGAATATTGTCAATAGACCTAAGACATAATGACGTCATGCTTTGTTTACATGTGCACTTTCCTTAATTGGCTGGCCTCCCCAAAGGAAAGTGCACATGTAAACAAAATGTGACGTCATAATGTCTCGGGTCTATTGTGAATATTTAGTTAGTTAATAGTGCTGTATATAATGCAATGGAAGTTACTTCAAAATGTTCTTGGTATCGTTGTGAAAAGCTGTACAAATGTTGTTGAAATCTGTAATAATTTTTTTTAACATGATTGCAGGGCTCAAGATATCAGCTGAGGATCGCTGGACTGCGTCCAGTAATTTAAAGGTGATATAGAACATTTGGGCAAGTCCAAGAAAAGGTCCCCTTTTTGTCCCGTACGTAACATCATATTTTCTTTAATAACATAATCATCACAGAGACTATTAACATAATAATTGTTGTAGGTATTCTCTTCGCAGATGCCCAACCGGAGAGTATAAAACAAGTACCAAGTGGTACAACCCATGGCGGTTCCACTAACTACTACTGTGAATTTTACCGCAATAGAGCGTGATCTACATGTAATATGCAAACACCCATGGCAAAGCTCACTGGTAAAGCTGTGATACTGCTGTGAAAAATCACTACAGTCCATGAATATTTTAAAGGGTTCAACTTTGTTACATACGGGACACAGCCTGAGAGAATTCTTGGACTTGCCCATTTGCCATTGCTGTCATTTTCGAAAATGGATGGATTGGGGGGGGGGGTAGTATTTTATAGCAAATATTGTTTCACTGACCAATTTAACGTTTTGTGTTTGGAAAAACCAAGGAAAAAAACTCCTGTTCTTGTAGTCTGGATCCTGTACCCTACTTCAGGTGAAACAGCAAATTTATAGGCGTCAGGAATTATCAGGTCAGGGAACCAGACCAGCTGGCTTGCACCCATTCACGGATGTGCAGCCGATTGCAAACAAGATGTGGACTAACTTAACTTGGTAAACTGGGGGCAGTATTTTTTGTTTCCAACGGTGGTTGGCCGACCATCGTTGGAAAACGATACAAAAATTCCACTTTTTTTTAAATGACAGCACACCAGGTGCCATGGTTTCACAGGATGCTTGAGACTATTATTCACCAACAGCCAAGCAAGGTATTTCGTAGTAAGTTGGTAGTTGGTTTTTTTATGTTAATTTGCAAATGTTGTATGTTACGTTAAGAATTGGTTTAGTGCATTCCATGACTGATTTTGACGGCTATTCTAGTGTCTTGTTTTGGACACAATACTGATTACTATAAACGTACTCCAAAATACCATTTAACATAGTAAAATATTCGGCTTTACGACAAAGTTAATGTTAGTTGCAATTTTGGTTTTCTTTTTAACCATTAGAGAATTTTTTTAATAAAAAAATGGTTTAACCTATCTTGTGAAAATACTTCTTGTGAAAATGCTTCTGGTCTTGTGAAAATACTTCTGTTTGTGAAATGTTTGAGCGACTACCCTTGTAGTCTGGTAGATTTTTGCATGAAATATAGGAGCTTTGGTCTTTTTTTTTTTTACCGAAGTCAATGATTCATTGGCTCCCTTGAAAAACCAAACTTGTGGATCTTGGGGTAAATAACTCTGAGTTCACTTCTTACAAACATTGCATCTTTTAGTGGCTTGGTGTGGCAGTGCTGTCGGCATCGGAATTGCGACAGTGGTGGGGGGCGTCTCCGTAGAACTCCAGCTTTTCCTCCAGGAACTCCTCCGTTAGGTTATGCCGTGTGATGATCCCTAGGACCTAGGGGGAAAAAGGAGGGGAGAAATGTGGAGCTCAGGTACTCAGGTTCCGCAGGTGACTGAAGCAGCTTGGTCAAACGGGTTCACAAGATCTGTGAGAAATGTAAACAACCCAAAGGTGGGGAGGGCTTGCGCGAAATCCGAGACCTCAAACAAGGCAGAAGAAATATGCAGGACTTTGGATTTAGCATATTAGCCTTTTAACATAGCTCCAGGTCTCAAGTCTTGGTGAAACTCACCTCACCACAGCTGTTGATGACCATGAGGTGTCGGAGATGAATGGTCCTAAAGAGGTTGAGGACTTTGGAGTTAGCACTTTAGTTATAAAGTATAGCTCTATGACTCGGTCGAGGTCTCAAATCTAGGTGAAACTCACCTCACCACAGCTGTTGATGACCATGAGGTTACTGAGACTAGGGTCCTAAAGAGGTTGAGGACTTTGGAGTTGGCACTTTAGTTATTTTATATAGCTCCATGACTCAAGGTCTCAAGTCTGGGTGAAACTCACCTCATTACAGCTGTGGATGACCATGAAGTTACTGAAACCCATGGTCCTAAAGAGGTTGAAGACTCCAAATGGAGTTAGCACTTTAGTTGTTTAATATACATGTAGCCCTATGATTTGAGGTTTCGGTCTGGGAGTAACTCTCCTCATCACAGCTATGGATGACCACAAGGTGCCGGAGACCCAAGGTCATAAAGAGGCTGGGGAATTTAGAGTTAGCACTCTAGTAATTTATATAGCTCTATGACTCCAGGGTTCAAGTGTGGGTCTAACTCGCCTCATATCACAGCTGTTGATGACCATGAGGTGCCGCAGGCCCATGGTCCAAAGAGGCTGCGGAATTTGGAGTTAGCACTTTAGGAGTTTAAAATAACTTTATGACTCGAGGTCTCAAATCCGGGTGAAACTCACCTCACCACAGCTACTGATGACCATGAGGTGCTGCAGGTCCATGGTCCCAAAGAGGTTGATGGCTTTGGAGTAAGCACTTTACTTTTTTAATATAGCACCGTGACTAAGGTCTCAAGTGTGGGTCAAACTCACCTCACCACAGCTGTTGATGACCATGAGGTTACTGAGAGCCATGTTTCTAAAGAGGCTGAGGACTTTAGAGTTGGCACTTTAGTTGCAAAATATAGCTCTATGACTCGATCGAGGTCTCAAATCTAGGTGACACTCACCTCACCACAGCTGTTAATGACCATGAGGTTACTGTTACTATGGTCCTAAAGAGGTTGATGACTTTGGAGTTAGCACTTTAGTTATTTAATATAGCTCCATGACTCGAGGTCTCAAGTCTGGGTGAAACTCACCTTAGGCGAGCCCTCAAATTAGAATCCCTCCCCGGACCGTTCAGGGTTGAGCCCGCCCAGTATGTTGAAGGGATTGGGACCTTGCATGGGACCTTGCATGGAACCGATCGGCCTGCATTAACTCCACCAGGCTTCTGCACCATGGCTCTGGATCATCACAAAGGAACCAATTTGCGACGCGCTAATCCTCCAGTAGGCAACAATGACTGTGATGAGCTTCATAGAAGTTGCCGCTGGTAATCCCAGCGGGCCGAATAATCCTCCAACAATGGCCAGACTTCAATTTATTTTGACTATTGTGAAACCCCGAGTCACCAGTTTGGACCGATTGGGGCGTCACGCTTCAGTGACCGGGTGGCTTCTGGCTTCGTACCGATTGGGGTGAAAGAAATTAGCATACCGGACCCGGTACCCGAACGGTCTGTTATCTGATGGCTCGCCTTATTACACCTGTGGATGACCATGAGGTTACTGAAACCCATGGTCCTAAAGAGGTTGAAGACTTTGGAGTTAGCACTTAACTTGTTTAATATACATGTAGCCCTTTGATTTGAGGTTTCGGTCTGGGAGTAACACTCTCATCACAGCTATGGATGGCCACGAGGTGCCAGAGACCCATGGTTATAAAGAGGCTGTGGAATTTGGAGTTAGCACTCTAGTAATTTATATAGCTCAATGACTCAAGGTCTCAAGTGTGGGTCTAACTCACCTCATATCACAGCTGTTGATGACCATGAGGTGCCGCAGGCCCATGGTCCTAAAGAGGCTGCAGAATTTGGAGTTAGCACTCTAGTAATTTATATAGCTCAATGACTCAAGGTCTCAAGTGTGGGTCTAACTCACCTCATATCACAGCTGTTGATGACCATGAGGTGCCGCAGGCCCATGGTCCTAAAGAGGCCGCGGAATTTGGAGTTAGCACTCTAGTAATTTATAAAGCTCTATGACTCAAGGTCTCAAGTGTGGGTCTAACTCACCTCATATCACAGCTGTTGATGACCATGAGGTGCCGCAGGCCCATGGTCCTAAAGAGGCTGCGGAATTTGGAGTTAGCACTTTAGGAGTTTAAAATAGCTCTATGACTAAAGGTCTCAAATCTGGGTGAAACACACCTCACCACAGCTATTGATGACCACAAGGTGCCGCAGGCCCATGGTCCTAGAGGTTGATGGCTTTGGAGTACTTAAGCACTTTAGTTTCTTAATATAGCACCATGACTAAGGTCTCAAGTGTGGGTCTAACTCACCTCACCACAGCTGTTGATGACCATGAGGTTACTGAGAGCCATGGTTCTAAAGAGGCTGAGGACTTTGGATTGGCACTTTAGTTGCAAAATATAGCTCTATGACTCGATCGAGGTCTCAAATCTAGGTGACACTCACCTCACCACAGCTGTTGATGACCATGAGGTTACTGAGACTAAGGTCCTAAAGAGGTTGATGACTTTGGAGTTAGCACTTTAGTTATTTAATATAGCTCCATGACTAAGGTCTCAAGTGTGGGTCAAACTCACCTCACCACAGCTGTTGATGACCATGAAGTTACTGAGACCCATGATCCAATTAAGAGGCTGAGGACTTTGGAGTTAGCAATTTAGTTATTTAGCATAGCTCTATGACTGAGGTCTCAAGTCTGGGTGAAACTCACCTCACCACAGCTGTTGATGACCATGAGGTGCCGCAGGCCCATGGTCCTAAAGAGGTTGAAGACTTTGGAGACGGGGGTTTCTGGGGACACGGTGTAGGGGCAGGGGTTCATGAAACTGGTCACATCCTGACAGAAAGTGGGAAGAAATTTGGAGAAATGGGTTCACAGAATAAATTTTAAAAGGAACTTGGTCATAGTGTCCAAAAATAATGTTTCGATCAATTGATCACTTACACTGATGAATGGTTAAAGGTATAGTCCATCATTTGTAATTTGTGCATTTTGTTCGTTTGAAGCAACAAAAGTGTTCAAAATCTAATAAAGGATACTGAACAACTAACCTGATGAAGTTTCAGCTAAGCTTCAGCTGTATATTCCAAGAAAATCAGCTTTCTATGATCTCAATTTCAAATCAAAGGTTGCTGAATCATGTTTCGAATTGCAGCTATATACGTGACATCGCGCACTGATCCGACGAATTATAGCAACCGCACGCGCGTGTGAGTCGTGCCAATGCTTGCACGCGCTTTGCCGAATAACAAAACGAACTACTAATTTAAATTTTCCTACGGTGCGTCTTAAGACGCACCGTTGGAAAGGCTTTCTTTCGTTGATTACTTCAAAATGACAGCTTCCCAGAAAGAATAATTTCACAGGGAGTTTAGTCCCCTTACTATCTTTCAACCAAGTATGTTTTTCAACAATAATTACGCCAGTTACTTTTCACATGGCTGCAAATGATGGACTATATCTTTAAACTTACTATGTAATTAACAATATCTCTGGACAATGGACATTACTTACCATGATCTTATTGTGGTTGATAGCGTTGATGTCGATATCATGAATGTCTTGGAAGCGTGGGTAGTCCTCAGTTAGCTCTCCGTAGCTCAGTTCCTCTTGACACAAACTCTGCGTTTACAAAAAAAGTAACAACAAATGTGATGTGACCAAGCTAAATGAGTCGTTTGTCGACCCTATTAAAAAGAAAATTTATTACAGATTTGAAAAGAGCACAATCTCAGCATTACTGATGTGAAAACTGCATGCTAATACCATCTTTAGTTAAAAGATTATGGAAGTTGGAATAGCAAGAGATGTGATGATGTGATGAAGTGATGTGATGAAGTAGCCCTATTTTGGCCTGTATCTCCAAATATAAATTCCCTGTCAAACGACTCATTTAGCTTGATTGTATCACAAATATGCATTGTCTAATCCCCACTGAAACATTGGGTACTTTCCTCGCCTTCCATCGCTGTGACCCGGGTTCGAATCTCGCCTGGGCCAGTATGTGGATTGGGTTTTCAGTCCCTACCTGATTCTGTGGGTTTTCCCCAGAATATTCTTCTGGGCTTTTTCTCCCACCTCTAAAACTGTAACTTCCTCTCATTGTCTTCTCTCCACAGGTTTCTTCAGGCTTTGTTGTCAGGCTTGCCAGCTACAGTGCCTAGGGCGCTTTTGAGCAATCCTTCGTTTCATTACCAGAAATGATTAATAATAATAATTATAATAAAGCTATAAATCGAAGGAAAAAATATCACAGCATTCTTTTTGTGTGCATTTTTCTCCACTAGGCTATGACCAGGCCTGTGCCCAGTTCTGTCTCAGTTTGCCAGAATGAGGACGGCAAGCTTTGCAGCAGATTGTCTGTTTACTAGCAATTCGAATCATATACGCCCTTACATTTTCATTTTTCAAAGTGCAAAGAGACTAGGCAATGTGGAAAATCACATATTGGAGGATACAGACTGTTAAATCAGACTGGGTTAAATCATTGGTTTTGATGTGCAGTCTTCTAAGTATTTGACATAATAGCTTCAATGGCAAAGCGCCCCCAAATGAAACAAATTCCACTCACAGATGTGTTCTCCGCATAGCAGACTTTCTTCTTCAGCAACATGACCAGGTGGCTTCTCAGGATGACCCCATGAAAGGTCAAAGGTCGGCAGTCATCCCGGGTATCCTCATTGTCGTCCAAGCTCATCACGTCAGCCAGCCAGCTTGGGTAACCGCTCGGATCAGTTCTGAGAAAACAGGTTAAATTAAGAACCAGTAAAAGTGGACTTCCATTCCATACCTGGTTTATGAATTATAATTGAAAAAATTAGGTTTTTATTGACGTAACTTATCTGTAACTTCAAACCAAATGATGTCATCAAGATGTCACAGTAATATTCACATTTTTTGATCAAGTTTGATGTTTGTATAACACGTAGAATTCTGATTTATGCATTAAAGAAGAAATTTTCGGAAAAAAAATAAAAGAGAGCGAAAAAATAATAATTTGTACAATTTCAATAGGTATTTAGGTACAGTATTCACATTGCAATGATGGAGTGAAACTGAGGAACATAGTTCAACTTAATTACCGGAGTGAGACTCGATCCCAGTCCTCCGTGTTCTCTGCACTATCGTGCCGGTTGCGCGCTAAGTTGTAGTCTGCTGCCAAGCGACTCATTCGGTGGACTCGCAGCATCTCTACTGAGCGGACGGAGGACGATCGTTGTCTCTGCTCATCGGAACGCGACAACGTGCTCTCCCGCTGAAATAAAAATGGTAAAGATGTTGACTTCAACGGTAAACTACAGACGTAGTAATGAATAAAACCGACCATTAATTCCTACAGTCCTCCAATGAATCCTCCAAGTTTTTAATGATTTTTTCTCACCATACGGAGTTATATCATCTGTGCAATACCCCCTCGCACAGCAAGGGTCTATGATATGCGAGCAGATTCGGCGATTAATTATGCAACTAGACTGCTTCTTGACCTTGAGATTCTGACCTTTCAGCGGGCGCCTTCTATGTCGGGTCTGTGGTAGCCCGTTTTGAAAGCCAATGTCAGTTTAATTAGATCTCCATGCCTGTTATTGTATGCAGTATTACAAAAACATAAGGCATGCAAATTGACCAATCAACAGCTTAGTCCAGATTTCGGAATGAAATGACATCATGTCGACTCCGACTGGCTGGTACGCGGGGTTGCATACAATAATTTGCATGCTTAGATGCATCATGCGTTGGACCAGAGACAGAGAGAGCTCCATTGGACAATGGTTGATGCTCAGACTAAGGGAGTTAAGGTTAAGAGAGTAAGACAAATTTGCTGAACCGATCGAGACAGAGACGAGGCAATGAAGAAATGCTCAGTTCTAGAGGTGGGAGGAAGACCACAGATTTGCCTGGAAAACCATGGAAACAGAGGGGACTGAAAACTCATTGCACTAGTTGGCCCGGGCGGGATTCGAACCTCGGTCATAAAAGTGGAATTTGAGGAAAGTACCTCTGTGTCATGGAGCTACATTAAAATGCTAGAGCGCTAACTCGATGTACAAAGTAATGCCTGATGGGCGCATCCATGTTTGTGCACAAACCTAAGAAAAATCGAAATTTTCTACGGCTTTTGTACGGCTATTTGCATATCTGCATTTGTATTCCATACCGGTGCGTCATCGAAGCTGATACACCCAAAACCGAAATGCACGATCAGCAAATGAGCGTTTCATTTTGCTCTACGCAAACAGCGCAACGTGTGTGCGTCCCTCCGCTGCAGATGCTTTTCGCCGTGACGTTTTTTAACCGTCATGACGCGCTTAAGTTGTTTGCGCATCTTCTACTTGCGCGTTGCATTTAGAGTACACTTTTAAAATTCAATCCATCTATTTTGATTGTGTTCTACAAACACGTACATGAATTCAAAATGTCTGCGCCCAGGGTGACTTCAAAGCGTCTCCGCACGCAAGAATGAGGAGCAAGCGCTCTAGTAATTTAATATAGCTCTATGCTCTGTGTCAAGCTCAATTCTGAAACTGTATCAAGCTCAAAACTCCAGAGGAAAAATACAAATTGGCAACTTACTTTATAGAGAATGTTCTTGCTAGCTACTGCAGTGTCCGCGCTGTTTGGCGGTGCTGCTGCTGCTGCTGCACTGGTGTGCAGGTTTTCCGTGACCACTGGATAAGCATGGTGCTGCGTCGTGCGCAGTATGCTGATGAGGGAGCGTACGCGGGTGTGCGGGTAAATGTAGGTAAGTCTTGTCTCCATGATCTGATGGGCACGTAACCTGCCGTCAAAAGAGAAGTCGCAAATTACAGATGCAAGCAGGGGGTGTGCATGGCAAACAGGGCTTTGACCAATCAGATGACGGGGATTTACTCAGGTGTTGTATAAAACATGTAATGAATGCTTCACATTCATGCAATGGAAAGAATAATTTCATTCGGTGACAGATGGAATGTTTCATGAGTGCAATGGAACCTTTGATCTATCACCATGAAATTATTCTTACCATTGCACTCGGAAATTATTCTTACCATTGCACTCATAAACACTCGTTATTTGTATAATGAATGTCTGAGTGTTTGATGTCTAGAAATGTGGCTTGAGACAGGTATGTAGTACATCCCAGAGGTAAAGCTGTATCAGTTGGTGAATGGGCTTGGCCACATGTCACCCCCCCCCCCCACCAACAAAGAAAGCGCCTTCGCTATGCCTCTGGCCGTGAAGTCAACTCAAGTTCAAATAAAAGGGGCATATCACGGTTTTGGGGTGTGTCAACCCACCTTACCCCCCCCCCCCCCAAATGCCACTTAAAGGGAAATATACAGCACTTGCAAACATCAAAAAACAAAACTACCAAATTATTATAAAATACCTTACTGGACCATTATAGTGATTGACAGTCTAACCCATCCTTTAAAATCATGGCACCTGCTATGTAGACATTTTCAAGAAAAGTGGTATTTTTATCAATTTCCAACGCTGGTCGGTTGGCAGACCAGCGTTGGAAAGTACTGGCTTTTTTTAAATACTGTCCCCATTCTACCATATTTAATTGAATTAGTCTGAATTTTGTTTGCAATCGATTACACATCTTTGAACTGGTACGAGTCTTCTGGACTGGTTCCCTAACCTTACAATTTTCCGACGTCTATAAATTGTTCCATTTCAATTTAAGTGACATCAGGGAACTAGACTTCAAGAACATGATTGTTTTTTTGTGGTTTTTCCAGCATCTACAAACACAAATCAGTGTAACAATATCTGCTATAAAATACAAATCCCCACACCATCAATTTCTAAAAACTACAGCAAAAGAAAATGTTGTATATTCCCTTTAACTTCCCAATTTTCAAGCACTACTAAGATATATTCTTGCCAATTTTCTAGCACTACTAATGAAACACAATGAAACAACCCACAAGATACAAACTGAAAGGTTGTTGTCGTTAACTTATGACAGCTTTAAATGTATATCAATGCGGTTGTTTCCTCTCAAAGATAAAAATTCTGGAGGCTGGATTCCTACCTGTCCATTTTCCTGGGCGGCTCCCAGCCCAGTAACGGCAGTCCTTTCAATTCCACATGAATGTCATACAGGCCTTTGTTAAACAGGTCACCTGACCACTTGGCCACCTAAAAACAATACGAAATTAAGAAATTAGGGGGCTTCAAACCACCTGTACTCATCTGCAGCTTGTTGGTCGGGAAATAATTGTGAAATCTTCTGCCAAAGGACATAACGGAGAACACTCCATGTTTTATCCTGATATCAACTAATAGCCGAAATGTGTAGTTTTTGGCTATGGCTAAGTATTCTGCCATCCATTCACTTCAAAGAGAACCTGCCGTACCTTAAACATCATGTTTGAAACACCTCCATATAAGGCGACAGCAAATCTGCAGAGACTTAGCCACAAAAGCAAATACATCTCCGCAGTTCTCTGAGTGGTTCCCTCCCTCCGAGTACAGATTCTCAATGTCTCTCAGAACCCAAACTAAATTCAAACCATATAGGTGCAGCACCAATACATTCAGAACTGGCCCCCTGCCTTACATGACTGATGTTGCTGCACGGTAAATAGTGCAATTACCTACTGAATCCACCTTGTCAATCGTTTATTTGGAACTTGTCTGTTGTGCTGTATATTCATAAACTACTATGTTTTATCCCTCAATTTTAAAAAGAAAACTCTTATACTGTCCAATTATTAATGTAAATTCCAGTTTTATAAATAATTTTTTTTTAGCTGTCTTTTTTTTTCAACACTGTAAATTTCATGTAATTCAGCAATTTGCGGCAATATGAATTTTATGAAATAAACCAATTTAAACCAATTTAATAGTTTCATTTACAACACCTCACCCACAGATTCTGTATCTTGATTGGCCAAGAGCGAGTCACATGGCATTTGCTAATTTTACTATCTTGGTGTGCATGGCTGGAAAGACTACACAACTGCCAAAAAAACTATTTAACCCCTAAAAAAATACTATACGCACAGCAACCAATGTAGCAACAGGAGGTCTGTGTGCACATGAATTGTGTGTACATTGCGTGTATTGTTCCCACGCACTAAAGGTTGGGTTAATTCATTTCATGAAGATGTATAGTTTTTAATAGTGGACAAATATTAGCACACAAATATTGACTGCTTCGAGTGGTGTGGTAAAACAAGGTCACCCACATAGTCACTCATACATACATGATTATTGTCCTGGAGTTTCCTTTATTCAAGCAAAACTTTTATAGGAGTGAGAATCTCACCATGAGTGTGACCATGATGGGCAGGCCATAGCTGATCTCATTGGTCGATTCAATCAGAATGACGGTGAGGCTGATTGTCATGCGCACGACCCCGCCCAGGAACGAGGCGGCCCCGATCAGCGCAAACGTTCCCGAGTAGATGTTACTGATGTTCGCAAAGCCAGTGTATCTTGATAAAAGAAAGCACGGAATATGCTATAAGACAGTGTTGTAGTAAAGGTGCTTGTGACGGATCACAGGTCATCACAAGTCAGTCACAAGCCCATCACAAGTCAATAACAAGACAATCACAAGTCCATCATAACTCAGTCACAAGTCCATCATGATGGGCTTGGGGTGGACTTGTGATGCATCACAGGGCCATCACAAGTCCACCACAAGTCAATCACAGTCATTCACAAGTCAATCACAAGTCCATCACAAGTCAATCATAGTCATTCATAAGTCCATCACAAGTCCATCACAAGTCCACCACAAGTCAATCATAGTCATTCACAAGTCAATCACAAGACCATCACAAGTCAATCACAAGTCCATCACAACTCTGTCACAAGTCCATCATGATGGACTTGGGGTGGACTTGTGATGCATCACAAGTCCATCACAAGTCCACCACAAGTCAATCATAGTCATTCACAAGTCCATCACAAGACCATCACAAGTCAATCACAAGTCCGTCACAAGTTTCACAAGTCCATCACAAGTTAATCACAAGTCCATCACAAGTCAATCACAAGTCAATCACAAGTCAATCACAAGTCCATCGCAAGTCCACAAGTCCATCACAAGTCAATCGCAAATCCATCACAAGTCAATCACAAGTCAATTACAAGTCCATCACAAGTCAATCACAAGTCCGCCACAAGTCAATCATTGTCATTCACAAGTGCATCACAAGACCATCACAAGTCAATCACAAGTCAATCTCAAGTCAATCTCAAGTCCGTCACAAGTTTCACAAGTCCATCACAGGTCAATCTCAAGTCAATCACAAGTCCGTCACAAGTCCACCACAAGTCCACCATAAGTCAATCACAAGTCAATCACAAGTCCATCACATGTCAATCACAAATCCATCACAAGTCAATCACAATTAGTCCATCACAAGTCCATCACAAGTCCACAAGTTAATCACCAGTCAGTCACAAGTCCATCACAGGTCCATCACAAGTCAATCACAAGTCAATCACAAGTCAATCACAAGTCAATCACAAGTCCACAAGTTAATCACCAGTCAGTCACAAGTCCATCATAAGTCCATCTCAAGTCAATCACAAGTCCGTCACAAGTCCACCACAAGTCAATCACAAGTCAATCACAAGTCCATCTCAAGTCAATCACAAGTTTCACAAGTCAATCACAAGTCAATCTCAAGTCCATCACAAGTTCATCACAAGTCTGTCACAAGTCCGTAACAAGTCAATCACAAGTCAATCACAAGTCAATAACAAGTCCATCACATGTCAATCACAAATCCATCACAAGTCAATCACAATTAGTCCATCACAAATCCATCACAAGTCCACAAGTTAATCACAAGTCAATCACAAGTCAATCACAAGTCAATCACAAGTCCACAAGTCCATCACAAGTCCATCACAAGTCAATCACAAGTCCATCACAAGTCAATCACAAGTCAATCACAAGTCCACAAGTCCATCACAAGTCAGTCACAAATCCATCACAAGTCCATCACAAGTCAATCGTAAGTCCACAATGCCCAACAAGTCATTCAGTCAAGCGATGCTAATTGTTCCCTGCTGGTGGTGGGCATTCATCCCATAACAGCTTGAGATAAGAAAGGGTTGAAATCCTGGTACGGGCTTGGGCAAAAACCCGAACATAAGCTCTGTACTCAGGTTTTCTGAAATACGAGGATTGACGACATGGAATAAAATTAGTCGTGCGTACTTCGCGCCTTACGCGCATGAACCAGTACACGCACGTGGTTTGTTCCTTCCACTGGGGGTCTATCAATATCACTTACTCATTCAGGATGTTGCCGACGATTCGTCCATAGGCCGCACCGCACAACAGACAAGGTACAAACAGACCGCTTGGGACCATAGCGCCGTACGTCCAACAAGCCAACAGGAAGAACAGGCCAAAGAAGATACCTAGCGACTGCAGGCTGAACTTTCCTGAAATTAACAGAAAAACCATTTCAAATATTGGCGGCATTAAACAAACAATGATCAAAAGGAAGTTTTATACAGGGCTGTGCATTTTTAAATAGTTAAATATTTGAGGCGTTCTGACACAGTGAGACAGAACTGGGCAAGGTCGAAGTAAGGGTCTGCGGGTATCAGGAAAGAGAATAAAATTTTCCTTACAACACTGTTTGTTGCACTTCAATTGGACATTCTTTTGTCTAAAAAGTAAAATACTAAGAAAAAGGCCATAAAATTTTGAGTTTTGAATTCATGAAAATGAAAGATGCCAAAGGCTTTTCCTTAAAAACTTTTTATTCAACAATTTTATGCTATTTCTTTAAAACATGTGAAATAGACATATCAAAGATTACAAATTTTATCACTAAATATGAAAATTCCCCAGATTCTGTTTCTTGCATATATTTCTCTGCAATGGCCTGTGTCCAGTTCCGTCTCATATTGCCAGATGCCTCACAAATATTCCATTATTCTACTTGATTGAATATTCAAATCACTGATCAAACTTAACATGCGCGAGCTTAAAATGGCAGCAGATCATGATTTATGTGCTCTGGCAGTTGTCGAAAATTGACAAAGATCTTTATATCAAAGTAATATAAAGAAGATGAAGCAAAATGAAAATACAACAATAAAAGGGTATAAGGCATGAAAAAGTGGCAAAACATAGAAAGCCTCTATAGCTTGTATAACGCATATTATACAACGCCTGACTAAATCCCCGTCATCTAACTGATGGGTCGTTGATCACGTTTAACTGAATTATTCGTCCCATCTCAAGGCCTGGCCGCACCGCAAAAAATAGAAGTTCTATTTCACGGTGAATATTACTTCCATTACATGGTCACACGATTGGTACCTCTGACCAATCAGATGACAAGGATTTGTTCAGGTGTTGTATAAAACAAGTTATGAATGTTTCACATCTGCGCAGTGGAAAAAATAATTTCATTCGGTGTCAGATGGAATGTTCAATTCCACTCGGCGATGGAACATTCCATCTGTCACCTCATGAAATTATTCTTACCATTGCACTCATCAACATTCATTATTTGTATACCATTAAACCTAACTCCCTAGGCCTTTTTGCTAGGATGTAACCTCAATCCTGCAAAATCCTCCAATTGGCCTCATGGAAAAATAGCATAATAGCCTCAATCCTGCAAATTCCTCCATTAATTCTTGAATATGGTCCGTGGAGGGGTGACTGCACTGCCTGCATCCTGCAAAATCCTGCGGCCGTGACTTTCAATATGTTGAGGCAGAGCCAGTGACATCCTGGAGCAGCACGGAGGATTTCAAGCATAATCCAGGCCTATATTTATAAATGGCTGAGCAAAAACAACACAAGGTCCGGCCCAAGACCTTGACAAAGTGCATCCTACGAAATCAGTAACGCACTTTTGCCATGTAACCTCAATCCTCCAAATTCCTCCACTCTGGCAAAGAGGATTTTGAAGGATTCAGGGCGGTTAGGGTTAAAGGACATGTACAGGAAACAACTGTTCACAAAGAGAGACAAATATAAACAAATTCAAAGCACTCACAGGATTATGGTAAATAGACTACCAATAAGGTCAACGTACAACACTCAACACGCTGCGAAAGAGAAACCCGTGCATTGCAGAAGAACGTAAACATTTTAGATGTCTTTCTTTTGTGTACTAGTTCACCTGCTTCGTGGAAGAGTTCCTTGATGGCAATCTCCTGGGAGTTGAAGAACAGAGTGGCCATGTCATTGTAGTATCCGTCTTGGCAGAAGAAGGTGACCTCTGTGCCGTTGCCACTGGACACGTTGGAAGACCACGGCACAAAGCGATTGTCTGCCTCTTGCTGTAAAAACACAGAAATGAATGCTTAAATATCAAACAATTTTGTAAAGAAATTAATATAGAGTTGAATAGGGAATCAGGAGAGATTTGAACCAAAGACTTCTGAAACTTCACACTGGTGCTTAAAGCCCGGTTCATACTTCACGCGAAGCCAATTTCATGTCGTCCACAATGGTGGACGCGCTTCGAACATATTGTTGACGTCACAAATTTCACTTCGCTTTTGTGTGAAGTATGAACCGGGCTTAAGGCTGGGCTGTATTCACTGAATATTCGAATGTTGGATATTCGATTTCAAGCGGATGTCCGAAAAGCATTTTTTGATTCAAGTATTTGAAAAATGCAAGTGGTTTCGAGGAGTCTAAAAATACTGCAAGTAAAACTTGCGCGATCCCCCTGGCATCCTGGTAGTTTGTATACATGCACAGGCAATTAGTAAGGGCAATATTCAGTGAACCTAATCGAAAAGGAATGTGTCATAACTAAAAACAGGGATTTGCAAAGAAATGGGAGGGCAGCTGTGCCAATCCACAATTGTGAAGCTATAAAGGGGCCGTTTACTTACGAAACAATGGAATAAAAATGTATAAGTTGTGTTGTTTTGTTGTTTATCAAATGCCACATCACGAATGATTTGAGAGCTTCCGTGAGGAATATTAGCTCAAATTGCTTCATAAAATCGTTCAGATATCAGCCATTGTTATCTGTCCTTTCTATTACATTCATAAATACCTAAGAAAGCTCAGCCAATTCCCATTGGTTGAGAGCCTGTCACGTGGCCAGTTTTAAACGACTGATAAAGACCGGCTGGCTGGTCTTAAACACTCTTTCAGTGTCACATGAAATTTGGACTCCCACGAAATCTGGTGCAAGTACCGTTTTATTGGCTGAACATTTACAATCCTCACATAGGCATGCACAACACTACCAGTGAGTCAGCATCTCATAGTCCTATTAATTCGCAACACACCAGCACAGCGGCATTCTGTGCCACATCATGCGGTACGCACAACGCGTGCGCCAATCTCCATACATGTAAGGAGTTGTTTACTACTATTGTAAGACTGGACATACCATTATATAGCAGAGATGAAACTGGCATATGGCAAAAAAATCGGAAAATATGCCGAAGAAAAATACGTGTCCCAAATTTGGGTCGTGCTGCATTACATACATGTACATGCATGTACAATACACTACATGCCCAATTTCCGGACACCTACTCCTGCTTTATTTTCGATTCAAACAAAATTTTACGATGAAAAAAATGGTCAGTGTTTTCATTGCATAAAATGCCCGAATTACGGTTAGAGTAACGGAGTCATCAATAAAGAAGTTAACTTTTTACTAAAGAAAGTCTAGGGAAAAGTCCGAAAGACAAGGCACCGTTCATGGTGGTTCAATCATGTCCATTCAACCAATCACACAACTCCACTACTCCACTTGCATTCATACGTGGGAAAAAATCAGGTATTATCGTCTTTCTCTTCTAACAAATGCCAGTGAAATGTTTCGCTAATGCTCTCTTCGCTATCCTCGAGATAATCATCACGATTTTTAAGGCATTGTATTTTGTATAACTAAATTTGAAACCTCCGAAAATCGCACAACATAATGATTTTATCCACTGGATCGTTCACAAGGCTACCCGTTCGGGGCCGTTCCCGACCGGCCATGTGCTAGCAGACGGTATGGTGCGGTACGTACGCTGGTACTCATTGCGTGCAGTACATGCACGCACGTGCGACACAGTAATTTTTCCATGTCGCCTGTCAATGTTTAACCTTTTGTCCAGCCGAAGAAGGCTCCGATCAGTGTTATGCCCTGTGTTTCTACTGTTGAAACACTCCAATAACAACTGGTGAAAGAGATTAAAACTGCGTTCGCGATGATTTTCACGTGCCATTTCCATCGACTTCTTCGAAATTATGATTGAAATAAAATGACATTTTGTCAGAAAAATCCTTACTAAATCAAATTTTGTGGGACACACTGTAAAAAAATCGGAAATTTCGTTGGAAAATTCAAAAAGTCGGTTTTCCGATTAAAATCGGAAAAGTTTCATCTCTGATATAGCTAGAGGAGTGTCCCAAAAAAAGTTAACTTGTTGAACAAAATCGTTGGAAATTTATAATTTTTGATTTGTTTTGATTTTTGGACCGAAACGTTTTGACTTTTTGACCGAAAGGTAGTTGAATATAGGAATAAAAGTGTGCTTGGCCGGTTTCCATCTATATTTTCCAATTTAAGTTGTGCGACCATTTTTTTTTTAAAATGCGAACACAAAATAATGAAATCTGTACAACTTACCGCATTTGATGACGGCAGTTTCTTGCATTGTCCCAGAGTCATAGCGGCACCAAAAGCAATGGACGCTGTAACCATGACGATAAGGATAGCCTCTAACACTCTGGGATGGAAAAGAAAACATGTTCAAATCACAATTCATGTTCTCAAATTATCATGGATTAAAAAAAATTGTGAACTTGAGATAAATTGAAATCAATGACCAGGATTCAATGAGCCATTTGCGAGTTAAATTTGAATAAAATCTGGAACGCTGACTTAAAGGTATAGTCCATCATTTGTAATTAGTGCATTATGCTCGTTTGAAACAACGAAAGTGCTCAAAATCTAAAGAAGGGTACTGAACAACTAACCTGATGAAGTTTCAGCTCAGCTTCAGCTGTATATTTTGAGAAAAACAACATTCTAGGATCTTGATTTCAAATCAAAAGTTGCTGAATCATGTTTTGAATTGGGCCTGAATTCAGCGTCCGAGACACGTTCTCACTGAGCCGATTGCAGCTACACAATGTCGCGCACTGTTTCTTACGAAGCACCGTTGGAAAGGCCTTTTTTCGTTGATTTCTTCAAAATGACAGCTTGCCAGAAAGAATCATTTCACAGGGAGTTTAGTCCCCTTACTATCTTTCAACCAAGTATGTTTTTGAACAATAATTACGCCAGTTACTTTTCGGATGGCTGCAAATGATGGACTCTGGCTTTAATCCAATGCTCTACACGTGTAAAATTTGCATTCTCCCGACCAAAGAGACTGTTACTATATCACGTGATTCGGGGCAAGCCTTACGCTAGCATGAAACAAGTCAAAGCTTTTGCAGAATGTTAATGCATTCTAGACTGCAGCGGCAAGCCTGCAGTTGTGGGTTGCCAATGCCAACTTTTGTGAAGTTGTCAATGATTCATTGCACTGCTCACCCAAATCATTAGATAAATATGTGAACTTCTATTTTTTAGGGGATAGCCTGATTAGAAGTACCAGCCAAGACTGGAACCCACTGAGGAGACAAAGGCAATATTTGGATGGTGTGTATAGGGCTTTCTACGCAGAATGATCCGTGGTGGACTTTGCAAGTCAACACAGCTAGGTGTGGAACACAAGTTTCACTACACTAATGCCAGAATTCACCACATCTGCAGCACCTCTGACGTCACGACCTTTATCGGAGATCAGCAAGACAGCCAAAAATAAAAAGATTTTTGGAGGTTAAAATGCAACTTGAGGACAGAAAACTGTGTTACCTGACAAACTTCCGGCGACTACCGAGATGCTTCATCCTGTAAATCGTCAACTTGGTGTTCAGGAAGTTGAAGAGCGCCCCCAAGAGTCCCCCCACAAAACCCATGACAATGAAAACGAGGAGATCGAGGGCGGTCCATGGATCGCAGTTGGTTGTCTTTCCTTTTTCACACTGTTATCGAAAAACATTTAATTGAACTGTCAAGAAATCAAATAATGCCTATCAGGACTTTATTCAATGACCACATTATGGGCTCTGTGCACCATCAAAAGAGGGCGCGTTTTTACCACTTTTGAGAACCCCTTGGACGGGACACCACGTCTGCGTATACGAGCAAAGTGCACATGTCTTATTTATGCTGAATGTGCACAGAACTAAGCCTTAGCATCTTCATGCGTGAGTGTCAGACGTCGTCGACACACGTAACATACAGTGAAATCTCGATAAGTCAAACTCTGATAAATCGAAAACCTTGTTCATACCGGTATGCATAATTTCGGAACTTTGGGGGAAAATTGGGAACTTTGCATAACTCGAATGTTTTAATATCTCGAATTTGTTATCCATTCCCTTGAGATTCGACTTATCGAGATTTCATGGCAATTTCTGGTCCAGTTGTAGTTTCTTACCCTATCAAAGATGCCAAAGTCGATGAGGCCTGGTTGGTCCAGAGCTCCCCACTGCTGGTAATCCAGCCCAGACAGCAGAAAGTTCAGCGTGAAGGTAGCGCACATGGCACAGAAAAACTGGGGGATATACAAAGACAACTTTTTTTTAAAATTTATTATTATTGTCATTTTATTTCTCTCTACAATTAAATGATTTAACATGTATACATATAAAAATACAGCTAAAACAGGAGGTGAGGTGAAATGTGGAGAAGGCAAGACTGGGGAGGAAAACATATTTTCCTATCACCAAAAGGTTCAGTCTACCAATTAATACAACGATAGCTCACGAATAAATCAATGGATGAAGAATAAAAACCATAAACAAAATGATTCATAAGGATGAATGTAAAAAACAACCAATATAAAAAACATTACGACATTAAAACATGGCGGGGACTAAAATACACTTAAAATCTTGAAAAAAAACGAGGTGAGTGAAAAAGCTTGAAAAACAACTGTCACCACAAATCTGGAATCAAGTGAGAAATCTGTCAATGGCTGTTTTTAAAGATGAGACTGAAGTGGTACAATCAACTTCAATAGAAAGAAGTCCTGTAAAGCAAGGCCTCTTTTCAACTGATTCAGAAGGGTTGTTCACTGTGAAGTCTTATCATTCATCTGGTCTATACACCATGGGTAGGATTTACCCCATTGGCATTACAGGGTAATCCTATACGATACTACTGCCCGACTCACTATGCTCAGGGGAGACAGTCAGTCAGTGAGTCAATCCTCTCAGGCAGTCAGTCAACAGATACGTGTAGGTACAAACAGGCAATCATATACAGGGTAATCCTATACGATAGCACTGCCCGGCTCACCGTGCTCACAAGTCAGTCTGTCAGTCAGGTACAAAGAAGACTATAATAGGCCGGCCTATTGGGACCCGGCAAAAAGAGACATTTCCAACTCAAGTTGCGACACATAACATGTCGCAATTCGCAACGGGTCGTACGATCCATTTCATAAAACTTACGATGTATTGAACGCGTTGTGATAAGGCCTAAAAAAAAAAAAAAAGTTATGTTGGCGTAACGGGCCAGAAAAAATAGGGTAGGTAGGTCGTTTTTTTTTTTTTTTTTTTTTTTTATCCCAGCAACGAAAATGACATTAAGCCGGTAGTAGTACACGATAACAAAAGAAAACAAGGCTACACACAATATTTGTATACTTTTAAACTCTGAGTGACATTTATTTCACTTTTTATGTCTTTCTTTTATAGTTTCTTGTTTTTGTGCAAATAAAAACAAAACTGTCAGATCGAGGAAAATTTAAGGAAGGCATGGTAGACCAAGGCCTGCAGTGTGCTTCAGGACAGATGAGGCATGAAGCCAACTTGCTGTTTTTGGTGTATCTGTAAAATGATATATTAAAAATAAAAACCATGAATTAAGAAAAGTTCTGGCTGTTGTATTTCAGTTTTCAGTATGTTATATTCAAATTATAGGCATAGGATAGGATAGGACATTCAAGCAATATTTACCTTTTAGCGTTTAAATGGCCTAGATATCAAAAAGCGGAATCCAAAATCAGACAAAATGTTAGCCGTTTCATCTGCATCGACATCTTTATATGGACCCGAATCTTCCTTTGAAGTTTGTATTTTTAGCACGGTGTAACCCGCTTTTACACCATCGGCACAGCTCTGAGCGATTACCCCCAGCTCTAGATTCAAATTTATCCGCATTAAACGGTCGAAAATGACCGAAGATCCCCATTTGCCCTTGATGGAAACACTGTACGCTTCGGTACCGGGCGCCATGATGCGACGGCGTACGCGCGTAACCACGGGCCGGGGGCCGGCCGGGTCGCGTCGGCCGCCGGGGTTACAGAATAGTTTACCATTTTTAGAATAAATATAATCAATTGTTATCGTGCAAAATAGTGGAAAATTAATTAAAATAATTTATATTATAATGAACTATTTTTGTTAACATGGAATAAATATGTAGCAGTTCGCGCCGTGCAACAGTCTAGGACGAGGCTATACATGTACTGTACATATGTACATGTACATGTGCATCTATCATGCATGCATGGTGCATCGATCTCCGCACGCGCACTGCCTGTAGGCCTGCGTGATCTTCTGCATGTTCGTTGTGTCATGGAGAGGAAGGTGCAAAACATTGTGCACTCCAAAGTTCCACGCGCGCTATCGTTATACAATTGAGGAGAAACGGTCAGAAATGGTTTCAAAACGTATTTAAAATTCATTTCTATAGATTTTAATTATATTTCTTCCCTCCAAAAAAAAAAAATATCCAGGGTCGGCCGCATTTTTAGGGTCGGTCGGGTTACGCCAACATAACACTTTTTTTTTTTAGGTCTAAGTTCCTTGGCAACGGTTTAAAACCAACGTAAGTTACGACTTGTATTTTGGTCATCGCAAAATAAAAAGCGTCTCTTCTTAGCCAGTTTTAATCGCAGGATGCGTCGTAGCTATTGTAGCGGAAAGTGTAGGGACTTGTAGCTAGTTTATTTACAACGTCATTCCTATTGCACTAACGTTAAATCACGGTGTGTTGGTGACTGGGCGGAGCTTAAGTGCCCAGTGGCTGAATGCGCGTACGCTATTGGTTGCCTAAGGCCCATAGGTTTAGTACATGCATATGTGTTTGTACGGCGTATGCATGTTCACGTGAGGGCTATTCACGTGATCGCGCGGAGGAGTTTTGCTGTGGACAGCGGACGGTAAGGTCGTATGTTGCTCGCGCTCTGTGTTTGGGTAATGCTGACGCGCACTGTGTAAATTGCGCTGGTCCTTACGGTGCTGAAGTTGCGCTGTGTGAGGCTGACGCGCAGCCGTACTAGTGAATGTACTGTACGATACTGACGCTAGCTTGCATGGGTAAAGCGTAAATCAGGTTAAGGCTGACAGCGTATATTACTTACATTGGCGTGCATTACTTACACTTGCGTGTGTTATTTACATTGGCGTGCACTACTTACATTGGCTTGTGTTATTTACATTGGCGTGCACTACTTACATTGGTGTGTGTTGTTTACTTAGTGTACGTTGTTGACTTCGTGTACATTGTTTACTTAGTGTACATGGTTTACTTAGTGTACGTTGTTGACTTGGTGTACATTGTTTACTTAGTGTACATTGTTTACTTAGTGTATATTGTTGACTTACCAGTGCATTGTTTACATTGGGCGCATTGCTCAAGCTGTGTGCATTAATTGCTGCTTAGGTGAGCTGTTAGCTGACTTGCAAGTGTATTTAAGGGACCCTGATAATTAACCACCTCATTAAGTCTCAATCACTACTGCATATTTCTTGATTATTGTATAATAAATTACGATCATATTTGTTGTGCCGACAATCCTGTTGTCCAGGTGTATTTGTTGTTGGTTTAGTGTGCAATTAACGGTGGGTAATCACAATCATCATAATCGGCGGTATATTTCCTCCAAAACGGACCTGCTCCCTAGGCCTTGAGGTCGCTCTGAGTGGTCTCTCGTCTTGGGAAAGCTTGCGTTCGGGAAGATCAGCTACACTCTAATAGGTGTCAGACTTGGTCCCAACGAACTTAGGTTTGGCCCGGGGAGATCCCCGCCACACTATCGTAGGGATACAACGCGTCACAGCGCTGAGAATGCATCGTAAGTTGCAATGAGTTTCACGAAACAGGGTGCTGCGAAGGGTTAAGTCAGTATATCATCAATGTACTTTGACTGTCAGCAGGAGAAGGCTAAATTCAATCATCATCAATCTTAATTGGTGTGGAGTCATTGATGCCACGATGGCAGATGAGCAAGGCAAGAGGGTTAACCTACCGTTCTCCAGGTCAGCATTTGATTCCAAAAGGATGAGCCCTCCTCTAAGCTGAAGAGAACACCTCCAATAGGAGCTCCAAAGGCAGCTGCAATGAAGACAGTAAACGTCAAATCTTCATCTGACAAACTTTAAACCCATTTCCACCTGTACTACATTGTATTACATTGTATTTCATTGTATTACATTGTATAGTGTTGTATAACATTGTATCTTTTCCCTGATGACTCTGTCAAACCAGTGCTTGGGCGGTTTTGGGTATTAATGGGAGTACTAGGCAGGGCAGTTTGGGGCGGTACAGTGAATAATTGGTTCTAGGCCAACACCGGCCCTAGTCTATGAAAGAAATCCCCTCGCACAGCAAGGGTCTATGATAATGCGAGCAGATTCGGCGATTAATTATACAAAACAAGACTGCGTCTTGACCTTGAGAGTCTGACCATTCAGGCTCGCCTTCTATATCGGGTCTTCGGCAACCTGTTGTTGTATTACAAAACATGGCATCCAAATTGACCAATCAACAGCTTAGTCCACATTTCTGATCGAAGTGATGTCACAGTTTCTAAAGTCGACTCTGATTGACTGCCGCACAAGATCGCATACAATTTGCATGTTAGGATATATCAGACGTTCGACAGTGGCTCTGCACACGTGAATGTCTGATCCTCAGACCATACCAGCCCATTCACACAAAAAAAATTACGCTTAATTGTTGACATGCACCTGCAATTACTCAAGTACATTAATTTAACAACCTAGTAGTACAATTGTTGGAAATAAATATGTGATGATTTGCCAACTTTTGCCATTTATGAGGTGCTTTAGGAATTTGCTTTAGGGATTTCAATGATTTCACATGGCCAGAGAATGAATCTGGACTCATCCCAGGAACTGCTGCAATAAATGCATGACTGACTCATCAATAAGCTCCGGTCAATTTCTTTGCTCAACTTTAAAAATGATTATAATGCACCTATTTTCTTAGTCAGTTACTTTATTTGAAAAACTTGACGTGTGATCATTCTTGACCAAATGAAAGTGCAGTAGCCAACATGTGATTGAAAAAGTGTGTTTTCACTTACCAGCAACGCCCGCTGCTGCCCCACCCGAGACAAAATCTCTTTTATCCCTGAAACAAGTAAACAAACAAAATAGATTTGGCTTAAAAGATTTATTATCAGTGGTCGAAGTGATATCTGCTTCAACCACTGTACGAATGTGTCCCTGAGCTGTAGGTGCCGGCAAGAAATACTCGGCTCGCATCGTCTCTGCATCCGCTTACTCTGCAGCTGATGAGATGTCGGACCTGGCAGTTCCAGCGTTGTTTCTTGCCTAGTGCCGTACAGTTATGGAATTCCCTAGATGGTGATACATGTGCAGCAGGTGTGCATTCATTTAAGTCAATGGCCAACAATGGATCCATTTAATTATTTCTAGTGTCGCTCGTTATTGTCCCGTTTTAAGTCTGTCACACTTGTTCTTGTTTTCTCATGCTTTTTCTTGTTTGTTGTCTCTTTGACGGTTTTTGTTTTCTTCGCCGACGCTTCAGGTGTGTGGGGTTGCTGTAAAGCAACTTGTATTGCTTTCTCTTTTCCCACTCTACCTGATTTGTTTTGTTTAATAATAATAATAATAGTAATGTATATTGGCTCTTACATTTCTGCCGGATAGTTGAGGTACATGTATACAACACAAGGAATGTACTTTGCAATTAAATACAAGACAAGACAAACCTAGTAAAGTTGGATCAAGAGCACACAAAACTTTTATTCACTTGATTCAGAATAGCTATACATGTTTTCACTGAAACTTTTTTTCTATTCTCTGGAAGTTTTGTGTATTCACTGGAAGTCATGCATCTGGTGAACACAATCGGCTGAATTTAGCCATTACAAGGTAATCCTATACAATAGCACTGCCCGGCTCTCTTCACCAGCTAGAAAACAAGGCTATTAGTCACAATTGAAAATCAGTGAGTCAGTCAATTTGTCAGTCAGTCAGACAATCCATCGGTCAGGTACAAAGAGAGCACTAGGCTGGCCCCTCTCGGACTAGCACACAAAAAGCAGGACATTCTAAATAGACTACAATTCGTCGCGTCAGTGCAACAAGGTCGTATCTCCTAAAATGACATAAACCCAAAACACGAGTTTTAGAATGTCAAAAGGTCATATCTTGCTTAAAATAACCTGGATGTACACACAAAGTTAATGGACGTCGAGATACGACCTTGTTGCACGGAGCGCATTCGCGCGAGATACGACTTTGTTGCAGAATCGAGTTACGACCTTGTTGCACTGACGCGACGAATTACATTAATTTGCTAAGCACTACTTTTTTGGCTAGGCAGTTCCACAACTTTAAATCCTAGATCTGGGATTCTGGTAAAAGGTTATTACCAGGGGCTGTGAATGGGTAGACAAATTTAAACTTCGTGTCACAATATAGGAATTTAGGCTTACAAGAAGTAAATGTCCAATACAATGGAGACTGGACTACTCTCGAGGCACTCCGCAGCAAAAAAGCGAAATGGTAAGAATGAGGTGGCTTTTGCTAGAGTTCAATCTTTCAAGCCTACCTGTCGGTCCGGAAGTAGGGAAAGTTAAAGTTGAGTTTACGGAATGTGATACTCTGAAACTGGGGGATCCCGGCCCCGACGATCGCACCGCTGTGGATCATGGGCCCCTCCTTACCAACAAATAAACCTAGAATGAAACAGAAACAAAATGCCACTACACCATCCGATCAAGCGGTGGAATTTTTAATACAGATTTTTTATCATTCAGTTTAAATTTCACTATTTTATTTCGACACAAGCTACAGAAAACAACTTGAACATCCCCCAATTTGCTCCATGGTCTCTGATTGTAACTGCATTTACTTGCTAGTGGTCTTCTTGGCACATATGAATATCCTGCCCATTCGACCTATCAGAGAGTTCCCACCAATTGTTTCAACATTACAGCTCTGGAGTGTTTTTGGAAAGGCCCGGTGGTCACTGAATCCTGCAAACTATACCCAGTCACTGAGAGGGCATTTCATGTGGCACTTCACTTCACGTCAATTTTTGTTGGCATGACTGTGGGCTGGATGGGTACTTCCGGTGAAATCAGATAACCGTTAATTAGTCAGTTTTTAAAAAAAAATTAGGATAACCGGATTTTGAAATCTCTGATTTCTCCCACCACTAGTTCGATCCAAAAAAATCTATGGATCCTGTCACTCGCACTAAAAATGGTTAATTTTAGGGGTACTCCTGTAGCTAGATTGTAGGAACATTTGCAAAGCTGTCTTACCTCCAGAGACGCTGAATAAGACCCCAATGGCCTTGGAGAGAAGCGTCTTCAGTCGGACAACATGGGGGACCTTGATGCCATTAAGGTAGCATTTGATCTCTGGTATGCCTGACCCAGCAGCAATAGGCTGTATAATGCAGGAACAAATAAGAAAAAAATACAACTTTTCTACAAAGTTGAAATTTAACAATTGTTGACTGCTGTGATGTGGGATATGACGTTTTGAACACCCGAGGCGCGCATATAGCACTCAAGGCAAAGCCCAGGGTGCTATGCGCCCCTCGGGTATTCAAAACATCATATCCCACATCACAGCAGTCAATAATTGTTTTGTTATACCTCTGTCTTGGATTCTTTGGATTCTGATGTAAAAATCACGAAAACAAACAGCAGTAAACACAACAATCATGACAATTGAATGTCAACTCACATGCACGTCGCTTGCTCAAAACAGCTGATCATCTGCTAGTTCGCTGCTCCCACTCATGTGTGAAAACATGGTAAAAATAGCATGGGTACCAACTTTACTTAAGCGTTTAACACCGTACGTACTGTACCGTACGTGATATCCCACAGGGAGTGTGCCAAGACTTTTTATAAACTTAACACGTGATCGTTCTGGGCCAATGAAAATACCGTACAGTATTCAAGACAGAGGTATAACAATGGTATTTGGTGTCAGGGAACATTTGATTTCAATGAATATTTCAATGAAAATGTCACTGATTGCAGGGCCTGTGGCTATACATAAATGATTCAAACCAGCTAGCTGAGCCTCAGCAAGCTCGGACGTCAATATACCTAAAACATAATGACGTCATGCTTTGTTTACCTGTGCGTCCCACCTGGCTCTCGTCGGAAAGCGTACATGTATGTAAACAAAGCATGACATCATTATGTCTTGTAAAGTTGTCTGTACTAGTGAGAAGTAGGTTATGGGCTCAGTTCCTGTCCAATGAGATTGTTATTCTCATATAGTATGATGTGGTTACAGCAATATCCAATTCATTTTTTCACACTTTCATAAATTCTAGTGAGGTATGTTCAAAATTAAAAAACTTCCGCACACTGCTTACTGACTGGATTGATCTAGAATAATACAAATCAAAAACCTTATAGGGGGCTTGAATTTAAATTCCAGCAGGATGTTTCTCAAAGGCAAAAGAAAGAAAAATGAAGGAGACAAGAAATGAGAAAGAGTCAAATTCCAGATCAAAACGTCAGGCCCTCATCAACATTTATGAATATGTTCAAAATTAAGACTAAGGATAAAGTCCCACTTTGGATTTTAAAAAGTATTGTAAATTGAAAACAAAGAGGCAATGTTCGAAAATATATATATATTTATTATTATAACACCTCACCCACAGATTCTGTGTCTTGACTGGCCGAGAGCGTGTCACATGGTTCTTTCTATTTTTGCTATCTTTCTGTGCACAGCCAAAAGTACTATACCCGCAGCAACCAAAGTACTATACCATTAGCAACCAAGGTACTATACCCATGGCGCGGTATTTGTGTGCAAATGCATGCTGGCCTGCGCGTTGAGAATTGTGCGTAGCGGGTATTGTTTCCAAGAGAGCGCGCCACAGAGTTGGGTTCAAACAATTCGTGAAGGGGTGGTTTGGAAGAGAGAAATACATTTCCCACCAATTTTGTACTGAAATAGAAATTTACTTTAACTGTTTTCAGATTCAAATAATTTAAGCTATTAAAAACCAAGCAGAATCTGTGGGTGAAGTGTGATTTTTATTGAATGCTTTATCTCGTGGTGAAGGAAAACTAGTCTCACTCGGTGATCCATGGAGCATTCTATTTTCCCTGACCACCTCGGGAGGCTAGTTTTACTACACCACTCAAAGCGTTCCATATTTGTATATTGACCCTACCTCTATTGCAACCAGTATGCTAGCAATTAAGACAAATCCAGCACCGAATCCAAGCAGGATGAGAAGAGACAGAACAAGGCAGCCATCTTTCTTGCAGACAAGGATAGCTGAGGTTGCATGTTAAGGCCAACAACAAAATACAATGCAACAAAACAAAAAACCCAAGTAGGCCTGCAATTCTATGATTATTTTTTGCACAATTAATCGTTCAACTATTGTTCCCTTTTCATCTACATTTTCTAGGATTAAAAAGGAAGAGCTGATAAATTCTCTATTTCAAAGGATACAGTCGCTAACAGTGCTGTATTTCAAATCGCTCAAGTACTTCACAAAGACATCAATGAAAACAGCAACCTGCATGTTAAAACGAAAAATGCAAATTTCACACTATAAAAATCAGCTAAAAACCATTCACAACAAACAGATGATACAATGGAACGCCGCTTTAACGACATTCATGGAATCCACAGAAAGTGTTCGTAATAACGATCGTGCGGTATATCGATTTTGAACCGCTGGTACCCTCTTTTGACCAATAGTGAAGTGGCATTTCTCACATTCCGCGGCCGCACGAGGAGTCGTCAGGAAACTTTAGCAACGGGTGGTTTTCCCTTTTATTCCTTGGGGAAATAATAGCCATCTATCGCTCTTCAACATTCAACATTGGGTCGTTTGATGTTCGGGAATTAAAAATGGCCCAAATAGTGTTTAATACATGTACAACCGGTAGATTGTTTGTTAATCTGTTGACTTTTTTCAACAACAATGTTCGGTACGTTTTGTACATTAACACCGGGAGCCAAGGATGATGTTCGGTATAGCCGAATGTTCGGTATAGCGGTGTTTGGTATAGCGGCGTTCCACTGTACCTACTTTTTAGCCTATTTCGCTCGGCAGAACTGCCGAGAACTTGACAAGTCTGTGAGCTTAAAGGAGCATTATGGCCTGAAATCCGCCCAAAATTTCATGTTTTGGATTAATTGTTTAGTTTAAATCCTATTTCAAAGGTCTGGTTGAAAGGAAACTAACCTAATGTCTTACCGCTCCCGAGAAAAGACAAAAAAACCTGGTTGTTTACATCGGACACGGCGGACATTTTGTGGTGTACGTATACGTATTTTAAGCCGTGTCTATTCAATGTACCGTACACGTTGTGTGTGTGTCAATTAATACACACAGCACCAACATACAAATGTTGTTTCTTACACGTCCGCAGGATGCAAACCACTGTGCGGCAGGATTCATAACTAGCACTGAACAGCTCGATTTTTTGAGAGTCAAAATTTGACCCCCGAAATTCGTTCTCGCATTATTTTCGCAAGAATGACACAAAAACGCCCAGTTTTTAAGGATGGTTGTGTGGACGTGTGTAACCTACTTTTAAATGCTCTTTCCAATAAATATCATTTTGTTTAAAACGCGTTTTGAAGACCAATGCATTCCAGGCCATAATGTCCCTTAAATCCTAACAGAAGTCAACCCATCACACCCCAAACATGTTTCGTTGGAATCTGTCAGGATGGGTACAGTACCCCTAAACTGACAGTCTTTTACATTGGGTTGGCACACTTCCAGAATCAAAGTCAGAAATAGGTGTGTGCAGTTTCCCACATGGTGTTGGAATTTGATGTATATGGTTCCTAGTCAATCATGCTAGGGAGTTAGGGTTAATAAGCAGCTTTCCGAAGTCTTTACTTGGAAAAATAAGATTTTACTTGGGAAAAAAGTGTTTCACTTTGGTCTTTTGTCCAATTTTATAGTTATATTTTCAATTGAATGTAAACATTCATAATCATTGAGTACCGGTAGCTATAACTGCAAAATATCCAACAGCAAACATCTCTGCTTCTGTGTACTCATCTATAGATGCGAATTGGGCTGGATCAGTAGCTTTGTGTGAAGCACACGTGAATGACACTTATCCCTTGTCTGGGGATCTCATGTTGGACATACTACGCGTCCCAACTATAGCCATGGCCCAACTATGGTCGGGACGGTCCGGACTATAGTTGGAACAGTCCCAAATGTAGTCGGACTAGTCCCAACTGCACTTGGGATCATCCCAACAATAGTTAGTTTGGGCTTAACAGACGCAATTCGAGCATGAGACTTGGTTTCTAAGTGGGGGAAGAGAATTTTGTTATTTCAATTATTTTTGGAACCTACGAGGCCTGTGCCGACACCGATCAACGCGGTAACGACCCATCGCATCAGTCCAAGATGGCGGCTCATCCAAGTGTTATCGTTCTCCACCATCTCTTGGTAAGGAGCATTGTGGCAGATGTCGTAATCCAAGCTCTGAAGACAGTAAAAAGGAAAGGAAAAAAAAGGAGCAAAATCAAGAAAGTAAACTGACTGAAAGTGAGCAAGGACTTAAACCAAATTCAGCCAGTTTAAGTATCCCGACTGTGTGCACAAATCAAGATACTTATGATAAACATTTCACCATGTAAAATTTATTTGAAAAGGCTAGATCAAAATTCCAATGAAATTTTGAAGGCTTTTGGAAAGTTTTACAGTAAATTTTTTTAATGTTCCAACTTATGATGTGAAACACTTTTTTTTGCTTTCATGAAAAATTGCAATACTGCAGATTCACCAGATCAGCTTGTGTGCATTTATTTTGCTATCTTTCTCCCATGCTATTTAAAAAAAAAAAAATACCAAAAAAACCCCACAAAAAACCAAAACAAATTTGCCAATTTGTCAAGAGCCTCACCTCATAATCTTTAACTGGTAGCCAGTTGTTGCCTCCATGTTGCGAGTAATCACCAGTCAGTAAACCCTAAATGAAAATGGATACAACATGTCACAGTGAAATTGTTACTTTTACGTAGTGGCTATCGTTACGGCAGCTGTAACACGATTTTTCCACTGCTATCGGCACAGCATTGCAAAAACACCAATGTTGCAATCTACATCACTATTCATAAGATGGAAATTTTGCGTCGCGGTTGATGTTTATCAAATTAGGTTTTGCCCATCATACTCGATCAGTGTGTTACCTCCCGAGTGAAAGTCTGAAGAAAAAAAAAATTCCATCTTTAATATGAATAGTTAATGCGGTACCTGCTGCTATGTACATCAGATTCGAACCAGCCAACCGATCCCGTTACCTTGTAGTAAGTCGAGTGGTGAGACATCTGCACTAGAAAGCAGGGTTCGAGTCCCACCCGAGTGATTGTTTCCAACTTTCACTCGGGAGGTAACACTGTTTATAAGTCGGTGAAGGACAAAACCTCATTTGAATCTACATCACATTTAACTGTCCTTCCAACCAGAGCGCTTCGGTAGCTACATGTGGAGGTTGGTTAAAACATTGGACTACAATGCCAAAGGTCCTGGGATCAAATCTGTGCGGTGAGAATTTTTTGTTCTTTTTTTTGTTCTTTTAATAGTTTTCTTTACTTTTTATGTTTTTAATCAAATCCTACATGATGTACTTTGTATTTTAAACATAGATTCAATTTGTTTTCCAAGTGATTCTTGGTTTTGGACAGTTTGGAGGATTTATTTAAAGGAGAAATAAAGCTTGAGAACCCTTCGGTCGATAGTCTGGTTCCAACAGTCAAAGATCCTAATGTTGAACATCGTAAGGTCAGGGATACGGACGGTCTACTGCCATAGTAGCCACTGTTACAGTGTTAGCCCAGGTTGGACTCCTCCGTTGTGTACATGCGAAATGCAATGAAGACATCGTCCAACCTGGGCTTAGCCACTGTGCAACTTAATTAAAATACAAGTAGGCCTAGGCCTATGATGTTGTACGCCGCGCCTACTTGTTGGATTCTGTTGTTGATTTCATCTGACATTGACCATGTTGACAATGTCTGAACAGAGCTATAATTATATAAACCATTCCTTCCCCCCCCCCCCTCCCCCAGAAAATTGTAAATTCTGCTCATCAGATTTGAAAATCAAGGATCACAGTGAGCAATTCCTGGGAATCCTGGATTTTAATTTGATATCCAACCATAAAAAAGACAGGAACTTTTTGACACAGCCCATCATTCTTTGAATTGTTAACTAAAGTCAAGTTTGAATAGGAAGGTTTTTGTAAGGGCTATCAAAGTAAACTGGGTAAACGGAAAGATTTCCATATACGAAGTTCACTCAACACCCTGTGTACAAACCCTATGAGATTGGACTGAAAATTTTTAAGTGTTTTCTAAGAAAATGCTTGTATTTTCTCACTGCTCAAATTGACTTTGAGTTTGACATGTTTGATGACATGAAATTGCTATCTGGGGGCTTGTTAGTCAATACAGAGGAAAATTAGTGAACTTCGTATATGGAAATCTTTCCATAAATTCTTGCCAAACACTGCCACAGATTCCGAGGCGAGGCCTCCTTACCACGTCGTCACTGCCTCCGCTCCGAGTAGAACTCGTTCTGTCCCGCCGACGACAATTCGGGCAACAACCGCACAGCGAGTCCATTTCTGTCCCCCGAAAAATCACCACAGAAAACCACGTAAAACAACTGCAACGTACTTCTGTTGCATAATTAACACCACCAAAACATTCTCACAGGCTTGCGACGAGAACATTCAGTTATGCGGACTTTAAACATGTCAAACTTTATCAAAACAAAAGTCCAAAAACAAATGTTGCCCCGTGTTCCTGAATCAGCTGATCAATATAAAAATTGACAGATTTGTAGAGCTTGGTCTCCGGTGCCATTCAAGTGTGCATAAAATATGAGGCGGTTACAAGACATGAACTTAGCAGACGATAATCTCGTGTCGAGCACACGCCCCCTCGCGGCAAGAAGTCAAGAAAAGTACTCAACATGAAAAAAATTTGACAATTATAATTATATTAACAGTTCCTTTCGTTTCAAAGTTGTAGCCATCTGATTTGGAAAAGACTTCTTATCAAGTTCCAAAGGTTGAACATATTAACATTTTGAATTCAAAGAAACTGGCATCCCGAACAACCTAATTACTTGGATACTGGTCGTTTTTTCCCCAGAAATTGTTGAAGTACTTCAAACGAAAAGTGGTTATAGTTGCAAATGCATGACTGGTTCAATACTTTTTATTGCACTGAGCAAAAACACAAATGAAGTTTCTATATTACAAAAACAAGCCTTAAATTTAATTTGTTTTGTTGAAATATGAGCAATTTCAGTTAGTCACAAAAAGTTAACGAGGTGACTTTGAACTGAACTGTACTTGCTTTGCATAATTTTTATCAGTTATGCTCTGTATAAATAAAACACATAAACATAATAAAACCCCAAAACAAAATGGAAAAAAAGACAATCCATAAAGAATTTCAGGCACAACAAAACAGAATTCCATGTTATACAGATATTTATTTTATTGACATCGAATTGCATCAAATGGAACATTTCTCTTGGAGGCTAGCTAGTCTTGAACATTAATGTTTTGGAGGGGCAGACGTCAACATACTGGCGGCCAACTTTGTTTTATAAAACAAGACCGGTAATTACAATGTAGCATAAAGACAGCTTCAATTCACATATGGTTTTCAGTGTGTGAGCTCAGGAACCAGACAAACATGGATGCTGCATGGAAAAGGCCAAACCCTGAAACTTTTGGGTAAATATACATGTATATATTTTTTTCATCATCCCCGGCCAAAAACAGAAAATTTTACCAAAAAAAAAAAAAAAAAAACCCAAGAAAAAAAATGCAAAAACAATGTGCATCATTTTTGAACATTTCTATCAAAACATCTCAGCTATAAAAGTTTTGGACAAATGAACTTTTTCTGCTGTTGTAAAATGAAGATCTTTATCCAGATTTTTTTTGGGCAGAGAATATATCAGATATTGCTGAAATTCTGGCAAAAAAAAAACTGAAGAAATTTTGCGGTGGAATATTGCACGACCCAATATTTTCCGACAAAGTGAAAGTGGAAAATATTTTTGTAATTACATCAGAGGTGGTGACAAAAGTTAAGTGTTAAAAACAAAAACTTAGTAAACAATATTTTACTTAACATTACCTTTTGCTAATAAAATTCCTTTGCAGATATAGTGGGTTAAAAAAAGATCTAAGAAAAAGTAGGCAGAAAATTGCTATCCCTTTCAAAAAAAGAAAAGAAAATCATGCAGAATACTTTTTGCAACTAAGCAGCAACCGATTTCATAGACGTGCTATAGAGTGCCGAAGTCTGACGTCAGCTTTGTTTTGGTTCACGTGCTAGTTTGCGTGCTGATGTCTTCACGCACTTTAAAATATGCGCGTCAACCAGAATATGGGCACACTTCGGTACTCTATACAGACAAACAAATCTCAGATGATTTTAACTTGCAAAAATATCAGCGGAGAACCAGTCGAAGGTAATAGACATTATGCCCCATTTCCACTGGTAACCACATTCTGCTTATCAAGATTTTGTACGCTTAGCAACTTGCATAGCACCAGCATGAAATTGTCCGCCAACTGCTTACATCACAAAGATCAAGTAGGTAAATGACAGTTAACTATTTATAGTTGTTTAGAATGCTCATAGTTTCAGTTATATTTGTAAAGAATTTTAAGACCTATAGATCAATCCTGGCACATGATCACAGTCAGTACACTAAAGAGGCCCCCCTCGATGGAGAAAACCTATTGTACAAAGCAATAGCCCATGTCGGATTATCTGAGCAATAGCTACCACAACGCTTCCGCGCCATTGAAGGGGGCCTTCTGTGATAGAGTGCCCCAATTGGTCTACAGAACCACCAAGAGAAATGATGCGACTGCATTTTTTTTCTTTAAACAATAAGGAAAAAACCAATACAGTTAACAACACACGGCCACGTTCACAATTAGTAGTATTGTCTTTATGTACAAGCTACACATCTCTGGAATGAATAAAGGAAAGCCGTTGAATGTAAATACAGACGCGTATATCTTAGTATTTAAAGATAACTACATGTACTCGCAAATATTTCCCCCTTTTTTCTCACTCTAAAATTTACTCAATCTCTATCATGTACTAATTCTGAAGTACCACGTGGTTCAACACTTGTAAGTTGGATGAAACGATTACGGTTTCACAACATACACAGGTAGACTTCTTAAGGTCCGAGTATTTGTTGTTCTTTGTTTGTTACTTTGCTATTATTATTTTACACTACATTATCCACAATGATTTCTTCCACAAGGTGTCAACAAAAAATTCTTTTTTTTTTGTCTTCCAAATTTAAATTTCTGTCGACTTTTGGTGTTTATGTAATGAAAATAACACTTTGCATTTTGTTGTGTGTGCAAAGATTGACCATAAAAAAAATGAAATGAAAAACCAAAAAAAAAAACCAGGGGACCCCCACCCCCCAAAAAATAAAGTTTGTTACATACACCGTCAAAGTACATTTATCCAGTTTTGATGTCAAAGCTGGCAGATTTCGAATTAGGAGAATCACATATGAAAACCAATGGCACTGTAGTCATGTGAACACCTTATTTGTTTCAAGTGAATAAATTTCACCCAACACCTACAGAACATCATTTTGAGAAAAAAAATCAATGTGGATTATGTCGTTTTCGTATCATGTTTTGAAAAGCGAAAAGACTTTTTTTGGTTAAAAACAGATCTCCCACGTACCAACTCACAAGGGTTAAAACACTTTTATCATAATTGTTTGACACTAATAGCTTTTTTTTCTCTTTACAATATTTAATACACCAATACACGTTTCACTTTAATATTTAACAATAAATTTTTAAATACCTACATCATAATTTAAATATACATGTACTTTTTTGTAATTACGTCAGAAGTTACTAGTATAATTGAACGGAGCTCAAGTCAAAATGCAGACTACAGGACTAAAAAAAAACAACTAAAACAAAAAACAGAAGTTAACAGAAATTGTACAAAAAAATATTATTCATTAGTCTGGAAAACTGGATGAGTTTTTAACTCTTTTTAATGAGTTTTATTGGAAAATCATAATCATAGTTTTCATTTTTTTTTATACTGGAACATTTTCTTGGCTTAAGAATTACTTTTCCCTAAAAAACTTGTGGGAAAAATTGGACCAGCATTTTTGGCAAAACATTACAAAGACCATTACAACTTTTTATCCCGCGGTTGTATACTGCATTCTTTTATACAAATTAAGATCTTATTGTTTCACTACATAGAAGATATCATTCAACATTAAGCTGGTTTCTGGACAAAAAAAATCTGCTTGATCTGGCAAATCTTAGGTCAGGTAGGCGCCCTGGGTTGGTTCCTGCCGTTTCCGAAAAAATCCTGAAAATTTTCGTATAGGTGTTTGTTGGTGTCAAATATTATTCATTATTAATATGTCACATATTATACAAATAGTGAATGTTTGCGAGTGCAATGGTAAGAATAATTGTAATAGGTGACAGATGGAATGTTCCATTCCATGAGGCAAAGCCAAGTGGAATGGAACATTGTTTGGATATCCCCATTGGTTTTTGTTTTAATACAACACCTGAAAAAATCCTCGTCATCTGATGGGCATAGCCGCCAAAAGTGTGACCATGCAATGGAACTTCCATTTACCGTGAAATGGAACTTCTATTCTTAAGGTGCGGCAGCACCGTGTGATTGGACAAATTAATCAATGACACGTGATCAACAACCCACCAATCAGATGACCGGGATGTGTTCAGGTGTTACATAATTACATGTATTATTAACCAACAAAATACTTGTCATGCTGAATTCAAGATTACAGTTAAGAATTTCAATGCAGGTAAGTTGCCAAGTATCTGTATTGTACATGTACATCCATTGTGCCTTGAGTATTCACTCGGACAACGGCTGGGCTTTGCTTCGTCATGTTCTATTTTTGAATATTATCTGACCTACGATCTCTTATGAGAGGTCAGGATTCTCTGGTAAGGGAACCAGACTAATATCACATCAACTAAAAATGGCCTTCATGAGCCACAATCACCAAATATGTTTTGATTTTACATAAACTTACATTTTCTGTACTGGGAAAAAAACTTGCGGAAAACAGTTACTATTATTTCGGTGCTTGCAATTCTTTCTACATGTTGATGACTATTAACAAATCATTAAAAGATATATAAGTATATCAGCATATCTTAATTCTTGACGTTTCTATTCGGTTAACAATGTTTTTTTCACTACAAAAACTCAGAGACCTGAATACGGACAACTCGGTCAAAGAATTAAAACTTTTTTGTTTATCAGCTAAAAAAACAAACAAGATCGAAGAGGATATGCCAAACATTTACATGCATACACAATACAGAGAGAAATATACAGTCCTTAATAATGCCAATAGAATTAGAAGGGGATTAAAAAAAATAGGGTCACAGGGTTGGAATAAAGGGGTGGACGAGGGAAGAATTTAAGGAAACATGAATATTCATAGGATTCCTGCAATCTGATTGGTAAAAGGGAATCCAAAATTTGCATGATTTTGCATGTGTAATTTACTCGGAGGGACACCACTTGTGCTTGAAATTGCTCTGACAGCAAATTGTTGAAAACATTGAAAGGCCAAATGTGTGTGTCTTTCTAGCTTAACTGCTGCAATCATTTCTATTTGCAATGCTTGCAGCGTTTTTTTTAACATCTGCAAAGTTCTCAAAGTCTTGAGCTTTACTGACCCACATTCGGGTCTTGTGCCTAGAATCACACCATGCCCAATAAATGGCTCAGACTGGCACTAGACGTCTAGAGTCAAACTTGACTACTACATGTACATGTAACAGACCATAGCCTGTGCATTTTACAATTTCTTGGAGGTAAATTAGAGATAGAAACGCACTAAAAAAGGGGGTCCAGCAAAGGTGACAGAGAACTATGGTTTGTAAAAATTGTGCTCCAAAACCGTCAGACAACGGACTCATTTACTTTCCGTCTTTCCGAGGGAAAGAAGGTATATGAATTTAACATAATGTACATGTAGATTAATCATAGTGTGGACAAATTTGAAAAACTACTGGAAATATTCTCCACTGATGGAAAGATACGTAGATAAAAAGGAAGGATGGACCAATTGGTGGAATAGGGAACAGGGAGAGAAAGACACAATTGAAGAGAGTTGACATCTATTGGCAAGCACTATTAAATTCCTTCTCCGCCACCTCATCGCATCGGGGTTTCGTGAACTCCTCTCATACTACTTCTTGTCATCCTGGCTCCCTCTATTTACCTTTCGTATTTTCCACAATTACAACTGTGAAAGAATGAAAAAGCAAGGGAAAAAAGTTACAAACAAAATGCAAGTGCAATGCTAAGGAATCATAAACAAATATTACATGTACATTCTCTTGTTCCTGACATCTGCTTGACTTTTATTACAAAGTCTGATGGAACAGTAAGTTCTAGTAACTTTGAATCCAGTTGTCTTGTTTGGGTTTTTTTTCTGGAATATTTCGAATTTCGGAACACTTACGTATATGCACGAGTCACCTTCGGAAAATCAAAAGGGGGTCATTTAAGTTATGACTCAAAAAAGAACTAACAAAGATAGAAGTTAACAAATGATAAGGTAGAATTATACAGCGCCTGAATAAATCCATGTCATCTGATGGATGGGTGGTTGATCGCACGTCAATGAACAATTCGTCCCAACCCAGGGCCCGTCCGCACCGCAAAAGTAGAAGCTCTATTCCACGGTAAATAGAAGTTCCATTGCACGGTCACTCGATTTGGTGGCTCTGACCAATCAGATGACAAGGATTTATTCAGGTGTTGTATAAAACAGATAATGAATGTTTCACATTCGTGCAATGGAAAGAATAATTTCATTCAGTGACAGATGGGATGTCCCATTCCACTTTTAACATTCCATCTGTCAGCTCATGAAATTATTCTTACCATTGCACTAAAAAACTTTCATTATTTGTATATTATACAACACCTGAATAAATCCCCGTCATCTGATTGGTGGATCGTTGATCACATGTCACTGAATTATTCGTCCCAACGCACGGCGCGCCCATGGCGCGCAGCGCACAGTGCAATGGAAATTCTATTGCCCGGTGAATAGAACTTCCATTGCACGGTGTCACTGCTGCCGGTGGTGGCGCTGTTTTAAATCGAGATAAATTGAATATGATTGTTCTCAACCTGTTGAACAGTTTGCATAAATTAAATATGATGAACTTGTCAAACTTTCAAACAGTTTTAACCTGAATAAATTGGCTATTAAAGTCAACTAATCAGATGACAAGGATTTATTCAGGTGTTATATGAAAGCAAATAATGAATGTTTCACGTTCGTGCAATGGAAATAACAATTTCATTTGGTGACACATGAAATTCGCCTCGTGGAATGGAACTTTTCATCTGTCACCTCAAGAAATTATTCTTACCATTGCACTCATAAACATTCATTATTTGTATACTAACACATGTACCGGTACCTAGAGGTTCGCAGGGAAAAGTAATTGGTTAGAATAATGGATTGCTGAGGGAGGGCTGTTACAACTGATAATGTAGTAAAGAAACAGATAACGTATCACCTACCGAAAATGTCACAAAAATTGATCGATACTGTATCACTAACCGACAATGTAGCAAAAATTGACTAGTAGTAGATTTTACATGTACTTCATCATCAGTTAATTGTTGTTACATTATCAGTTACGACCGATAGTACATCTGACTACACTATCAGTTAAGTTTTGTTACATTATCGGTTGGTGATACAGTATTGGTCAATTTCTGTGACATTACCAGTTGGTGATACGTTATCCGTTTTTCATTTTACTACATTATCAGTTGTAACAGAGGGCTAACATTTTTGGAAGGTATCGCAGGGAATGACACCACTTGTCACGTTATCTGTACAGCTTAGGCGTACTGATACAAGGTAGTCACATGGGGAAACGTTCTTCAACCAAGGCATCACAGATACTGTATATACAAATCTGATTTTGCTAATTAGGGCTGTCCACTTCCGAATAAATGAATTTTCAATAATTCGACACTGTGTTTGACCGAATATTCAAATATTTGAAACTCACGGACCAAGTTTTACATGTGCCAGTTGCAACTGCATGCTGTGCCAGTCAAATCTTGCAGACAAGCACCCCGGTTCAAATTTGCATACGGTGATCAGTATTATGGGCCGCTGATCGAGGTTTGCGTGCGCCTGTTGTAGTATCAAGATTATCATGTGTATACATGCATCGACATATTTTTCAAAGTAACTGACTTGCTGATGTATTTTAAAAAAGAAGAAGCGGCACCTAACAATAAAACGCCACAACTTTACTATTGAAAATGACTTCACCGTCGTGTGTATACATGCAAATATTGTTTTTCCTGAATATTTAAACCGGCAAAAAGCTTTTTGAATATTCAGTTGATTTTTGAAATATCTACATACTCGGTATTCGGGACAGCCCTATTGCTACTTGCACATCTAATCACGTAACAAAAGGTTAGTTTTGCGGTTAATGTGCTTAATTGTACACTCAAGTATCTAAGTGCAATATCATATTGCATGCTGGGGCAATTAACTTTCAAATGATATTTTACACTGACATGGCATATATTAGGTAAAAAACGAGGACCTACAGTGGTTTGGAAAAGCAACAGAAAAAAAATGGCGTTTTTGTGGTTAATGATTGCTAGCAATCCCAGAATGCATCTGGCTCCAGTTTTTGCATAGCAGCCGATAATCGTTATTTTGGTTACTCCAATCTGATATTCAGCTGGATTTTTGAATTGCCCTTTTCACAACATTACAGCATTTAGTTCCCCTCCCCCAAAAACATTTTTAAAAAAACAGTGAGCTTACATGTATTCCACAGTTTACCCTGTTCTGATGTACCGTACATGTACATGTACATTCACGGAAGCCATAATCAATGGCTAAAACATTTAGTTCGGCAGATAGCTGATGGGATTGTGCCTTTGAAGATACAAGCATGGCATTTGGCACACAGTATGACATTAGAAAGATATTTGGCTATAGGGCCATCGCAGATTTGTCCTTTGAAAAAATAATGGTAGAACAAGCAAGGGCAGCCATTTTGAAAAAATTGAAAATTGCTTGTTATTCCACCTATATTTGTTCAACGGACAGATCCGCGATGGCCCTACAGCCATTGTACTCTGACTGTGTGCCAAATGCCATGCTTGTATCACCAAAGGCATAATTCCCCAAAATATTTCCCAACTCTGCCCCACTAATAAGCCATATGCGAGTAACCTACATGTATACCCTTTGTGATTTACATTCGAAAAACATCTAGTACACTGACTTGCTCAGAATGCTTGGCACATTTGAACTTTGAATTCTCCAGACCAAAGACACTGTTGCTAATCACCTGATTCGGGGCAAGCTCTTGCATAGTTACGTAAGAGATGTTCAGCACCAATACATTGTTCACAATGGGAGAGGATGGCACAAAGACACCAGACCATACCGGAGCTGGGGGTTGCTAGCATAAGGCTTGCCCCGAATCACGTGATATAGTCTCTTTGGTCAGGAGAATGCAAAGTTAAAACGTGCAAAGCATTGGATTAAGTCAGCGTTCCAGATTTTATTCAAATGTAACTCGCAAATGGCTTATTGTACCAGCTATTGTACAAAGCAACAGCCCAATGACCAAGTATCAGAATACTGGTAGCTGTTACAATGCTTACGCCATTCAAGGGGGCCTCCGTGTGTACAGTGCTGATGTGCTCGGTTTGGTCTATACATGTCACCACTGGTGCTATAAAATAACCTATCGTGACTAGGGGTGTGCATCGGAACCGAATAGTGCACCCGAGTACCCGACCGCTGCCAGGAACCGATTCCAGATTGTGGGATTGGGTACCCGTAACCAACTTTACAAATCACTGAATTACTTCCCAAATTACTTAGTTACAGATTTCACGTTTATGTGCTTTTTAACGCAAGACAAACGACCCTCGTGAAAGTTGCAGTGAAAAGCTTCCAGGTATAAAGCTCTTCAGACAACTTCCAGAATTTGAACTTTGGGGTTGGGTTTCTTTTTACGAGTACCCGGATACCCGTGTTTTACTTCAATAGAGTACCCGGTTCCCGCACTACCCGTAAATGCACACCACTAATAGTGACCCGTGTGGTGACCTCTAGGATCTAACCTGTGACCTACTGTGACCTTTGTGGTGACCTGAGATCTAACCTTTGACCTCTACACCCACTGCTTTTCACTGAATAAAGTTTGTGCTCAGTGTTTTAGTGTTGCTTTTCCCCTTTTGTACCTTTCCCTCCATTGAAGACTGTTTAAATGTCAATTCTACATATTATGTACATAATACAGCAAAGGAACAATTCCCATTAGAAGGTGCTGGACGTACATTGTACTTACTGGCACATCTTTACCATACAAAGAAAGTAAATACACAATGAAGTCATGCACAGTCAGCAAGCTACATGTATATATGCTCGTGAGTATACAGAGATCCAATGCCACAAACATTGATGCCAACTCAAAACACAACACATTGAATTCACTGTATGCGACATAACATGCCAAGCTGTCTTGCTGGTGCATTACCTATGGCAGCACTGAATCCCAAGGAAAGTTTGAGAGGATTTGAGAATTTGTTTTGCAGGAAGGAGAGGGTGGGGGGGGGGGGGGGGCTGCTGCGGCAGGGGAGGGGGAAAGAGCGGGGGCAGGGAGGGGGAGCCAAACAGACAGGGGTGGGGACGGCAGTTAAGACGTGGGTGGCAAAATGCCTGATGGCAAAATCATTTGGTGTCTGCAACCATTGGAAAGACTTTTATTTTTGCTTTGTGTGCAAACAGATCCACCTTGCTAGTAGACTGCTTCACGTTCTCCACATTATCAAGTCTTAAAGGGGGGGGGGGGGGAGGCGAGAACCAGTCTACCCTGGCCACAAATGAAAAATTGTCAAACTTAGGCCAATTTTGTTCAGTCAAATTTTCCTTACAAAATCAGTACTACCATACAAATGGCATATCACACTCACATTTAAGTATCATGCAAAAAAGAAATACTTCCAGTCGTAGCCACAAACTTTGTCACAGTTGGGGATTGTGTACTGGGCTGAATAGGACGTACAGTACCTGTATGTATGGATGTGTAACCCAATCTGATACAAACTTAACCCTAACCCCCTAGGTATAGGGTGATTTACTAGGACCCTTCCTCATCCTTGCAAATCCCAACACCATATGGTAAACTGTGCACATAAACAGTTGGACTCTTTTTATTCATGGTATGCCTA